TAACATCACTTTAGTTTTAAGCCATATGACTAAACATTGCAAATTAATTCTAAGTTAATCAGTTTCATTAGCTATGCAAATATTTCTTTGGCTTAAAGCATTAAATCAGATTTAATTTGCTAAGACAATATTCATCAGGAGCTTATGCAATTCATTCTTGCTTTCCATTAATTAAGGCATGTTACACTGTGGGGTCTCTATGCAAAAAAAAAAAAAAAAATCTAAAAAGGCAGAACTGTTAAACTTTTGCCTTCATTTGCAACTTTTGTATTATGACAAGATCTGAAGGCAAAAGAAAAAAAACAAGTCAAGGAGACACAAAAAAATCACAACTTCCCCCTTAGAAGAATTTAGAATGGATTTAGATGCATTTAAATTTAGATACATCATAAATGTTGTCTCACAAGATCACTGTGTTGAGTTTTTCTTACTGTAAGAGTAGTAACACTACATCATAGCGAGTAAGTGTGATCTCACTTGTGTCTTAACTCTGAAGTATTTCGGCTGAAAGCGTGAAGCAAACTCACTTAAGAGAACTCAGGATGCTATAGAATTATTCGTTACAGAATATGCAGATATACAGACAGAAGATAGTTTGCAAGATACTATTGGCAAATAATCAGAGGTGGCCACTCCTTTAAACTTATTTGGGCACATGTTTCCTTTGCATCAGTGGATGTTTTGCTTGTGTAAAACTACAAATATCGAAGTCATTGATTTAAGAACCTGGCCTACTGGGCAGGAAATTATTAGAGGTTATCTAAACACCAGGTTCTCAATCCAAAAAGCAAATTGGGAATTGGAGTACACAAGAGTCAGATGAATCAATGGGCTACTCTGAAAACTGGAATGGACTGCAGCAGACTCAGCTGTTGATGTGCTCCTTGCTGCATCATATTTGGGCCTGCAGGTAGAGAGCTGAGCACCCAAAGTATCAGCTCACCCAAAAATCAGTGTCTACCCCTGTAAAAGAAGGAAAGACCAGTGATTAAATCATCTTAACTTGAACTCCCCATGTACCTTTGATGAGTGACTGCTTCTAGATGCCTCAGCTCTTCATTTCCAATAACACTGTCCTACAAAGAGGACTGGAAAGTACTAGAAGTGCTAAATATAAAAGCACTACGTAAAGTTAGCTGCTGGTTTTCCATCTATATAGAACTGGTGATGTTGGATTTATCCCAACCGCACTGTGGAAACAGTAGATCCATATTTGGAAGATCCTTTGTCAGGAACACCTTGCTGTTCTAGCTATGAAAATGGGATCCTTACTGTCAGTTCTGTGACCGCTGATTTGAATGGCATCAGGATCACAAATATAATTCAAAGACAGTGAATGGTGCCTTTATGTCATGTCTTCATATTTCTGCCCTGTGCATTTCTCATTCTTTGAAAAGCTAGATATATCTAAAGACTGGCCCTAAGCCACAGAGTGAGTACATTATTGTACAGCTTTAGTGTTGAAAAGTGAATAAAGAGTAAATTAGGTATTGAATTTAGACCTAATTTTCATGTGATCTACTTTAACTGTCATGGGACTTCAAAAACTTCTTACATTTCATATAAACCTATATCTTGGCCTATCAAGTGCTGTTGATTTCAGTGAGAATGAACTATGCTTGGCATTTTTTCAAGTGTTTCTCAATACTCATCACAGTCAGACCATGACTGGATGTATGAGGAGTTACATCCTCCAGTCAACCCACAGATTTGACCATACTGCCATCTGTAGTGACTTACACTAACAATGTTTTCCAGTGAATTGGTCCTTTGGGAAATGGATCAGGTTAGGTCTACATTATCTGAATTTAAGAGATGACAGAGGGGTCTTCCCTTTGCACCTTTGGTATGTGGAACAAGAGAAATAATACCACATTTAGGTCGCCTGTGTTGAGGTGCATCTCTCCCATGACATCCCAAGGCATTAGGCAGAGTAGACAGGAGAGCCTCAGACCTATCTTTCTCTCCCAAAGCAGCTTGTGCTTCTCCTTTGGAACACAATTTCTGAACCAAGACCAAGCCTTTCCAAACCAGTGGAAACCTCAGGCTGTTCTTTTCCATTCCTGCAAGCCGTTTCTCACAAGCCTTCACTTTGGCACGTCTTCAGCATGAGGACGATTTGGTTAGATGTGGGTTGGCACCAAGCCTGTTGATTAAACCATTGTTCTCTGAAAGTAACTACTCAAAAGGAACTTTCCTTGACCACCCATAACTCGAAGAGGTTTCTTTTGCACATCTAAATTTCATTAGTTATTATATAGAAGTAAAATCACATCTAAAGAATGATGTATGGCTACACCCTGGAACAAGTTCCACCTTGCCACAGCTACGTAAACTTAGAGTATCTGGACTCAGACAAATGGACTGGGTTATAAAAGTTGAATTTGACTGCTTCATCTGGGGGGGGGTGGAAGATGAGAGGTAGAAGCATCTCATGTAGCAGCTTCAGCAAGTATTTACTTCTCTTAACAGATCTTTGCAAGACAGAAGCTATTACGCCACGAATGCACAGACACACAAGTAACTGTGCTTACACCGTTCATACCCTTAAACTCAGTGGGATTAATATATACAACTAACTTGAGTCCTATGAGTGCACTCAACTTGTTTTTCATGAGATTGCTCACATCCATACAATTTCAGTAACTGAAAGATGTCCCGGACATCAGAGATGAATAAAAAAGGCAATCACTTCTTGCTGTTACAATATTCCTCTCTTAGGAAATACTCATCATTTAAATAGTTTAGAATTGAAATCACTCCTCTCTTTTAGTTTTTATATATCACAAATTAAAATATTTGCATTTATTTTCATTCTGAGCCCCTTACTTCAGCAGAATACAAAACTGTGCAAAGGACTCAGGAGTACATAAGGAGTACTGAATGCTTTCTCCTTCTTTTAGGATATGGTCAGTCAATTATTTATTTATTAAATAAAGATCAAAGCATCTATGCTTTTTTTAGGAGACTACTCACCTTTTTTTCATTTTCTGTTACTCATCTAAACAACAAGCAACTCAAAAATAATGAGGAAAGGTGTGAAAAGAGACTATCTTGACCTCTACATTCTTCACAGACAAGAGATGTGTTGAATTAAACTCAACTGTGAGGCTGAAGTAATTACATATGAACTCACAAGCAGTGCACCCTGTTCCTGTTTATTTTAACCCAAACCAGCCAAAGTATAGGCTTAAAGCAACCAGCATCCCACACTGATATCACTTGGTCCCATATTCAGCAGTCACACCAAGAAGTGCCTTCATGACGGTAAAGAAAGAAAAACCCCTTGGCCAGCCTGCCCTTGAGAATGGACATAACACACCTGAGAAAGCATGAAGGAAAGTAGAGGAAGCTCTATGAAATGTCTTTCTGATATTTCTCTCATCCATATCGGTTTGCATCTTTTTTTATCTGGAAAATCTTCTCTTCTCTGGCAGCCATGTGTACAGTCCAATGCTTATTCTGAGCCAATAGGAACAAGGTGGATACAGGAAAGTTGAGCCAAAGGGCACCTGCTATGTGATCTGGGCATGCAGCAACTGCTGGCTGGCTAAACCAGAGCTCTTTCCCATTCCCTTTCACACCCACACATGCTTTATCTGTGCAAGGGTGAGCCAGCCAGAGGCACAGCAGGACTGCATCAGTCCTAGAGTCAGTGCTGTCTTTGGCTTCTTGGGCTTACATGTGAAGGCAGAGGAAGGTAGGTGAACATAGGGAGAGGAAACTAGTGCTGAAAGGAGTAAGAAAGGAGTCTGTGCAGGGCCTGGAAAGAGTGAGGAAAAAAATCCCATGGATGCCAGGGGCGTAGGGTAGCCGTGCCCACTTGCAGTTGGCCAAGCAGCAAGTGTATTGGGAAAGCCCCACTGGCCTCAAAAACCTGCTCTTCTGGGCATCTTGGGCCAGCAAGGCCAGGGGAGGAGCAACAGGACTGGTCCAAACTGAAGCATGCCAAGGCAAGCTTTGCTGGCACAAATGCAAGGATTGCCTCTGTAGCAGGGAACAGTAACTTCTTACAACTCAGAGGAGGCCAAGGGCCAGGATCTGGGGCACATCAGTGAAGGTGCCCCTGAGAGGCTGTACATGGGAGAAGAGAGATCAAGAAGGACAGTGGGACATCCCAAATTAATATATAAAAGTAGACAATGAGTCCCAATCCAAACAAAGAAATAAATATATAATCAGAAAAGCTGCACCCAGATGTCACCTGTGGCCCTTCCCCACTTTGGTGATGCAAGCCATTACCCAAGGACATGCTTTTATCCTCTTTTGGCTGGTATTCAAAGAATCTGGCCTTGATGAGCCTGAAAAAACTTCCTTTCATCCACAGTAGGCTAAACTTAGTGCAAGAACAAGAGTGTAGACTGATGAGAAAATAAATAGCCAAGTGCCCTGTGGCCAAACCTCCTGTGGCTGGAGGTGGGTCAGTGGCTCCCACAGCCCATTGCACCCAGTGCCCTGCCAGCCTGGCACTTGCCACCACCCCTGTCACACCCCAACACCAAGTAGTTTGCCCTAAAAGACATCTAGTGAACACAAATCTTTTGGGAATAGTCCAAATGCCAGTAAAGAGCTGATTAAGCGGCTGATACCATATTACTCTACACCTATAGCAAGCGTGTATCAGAAAAGCTTTGCCATTGCATTCCAAAGGGTTGAGAATCGAAACCCTTTGGCTGCACACACAGCACCTACCTGACACACTATCTCCTTGATAATTAGGGGAGGTAATTATGTGAGGATCATTCACCCAATCTAGATCTGGAGCAAGTGTTCAAGCTCTCATGTGGCGATAACCCAGAGGAAGGAAAGAAGTTCCATACCAGAAGTCCTGACTTCCAAGTGTGCAAACTGAGAAACTAAAGGATACAGTGAAGTTAGCTGGAGAAGAGAGTGCAGCATTTTAAGTGGAAGATTTTTTTCATCCTTAAATCAACAAATACCTGGAATTCCAAAAAAAAAAAAAAAAAAAAAAAATGGAGAGAAACCTTCCAGATATAATTGGTGGAATACAAGTCTGAGAAGGATATTAGCAATAATGAATACAGGGAATGGCAATAATACCACACCAGCAAAGAGTCCTCAGCTAATCTGAATCAGAAACTATAGAGAAAAGAAGAGCAGGAAAAAGTTATAGCAACCTAAAGCACAGAAGAAAAATTACCTCTTCCTTTCTGCAAGTCAGCAGTTTACAGGTGCTCAAGCCCCAACTGCATCACTCATGTGGAAGGTGGGAGGCACAAATCCAAAAGCCCCTTAGAGCAGGAAAGGGACCAAACCCAGACTCCCTTCCCCTTATAGGCATCAGCGTTTCATCCCACTGTGGAAATGCTTTAAAAAACAAGAGTGAGTTTGCAAGGATTTCTTCCTCCCAAATGATAGATGGAGGTGACTGCCAATCTGGATCCCGAATGGATGCAGCTGTTTGCCTCCAGGAACCCCACTCCAGAGTGAGCTGGGCTTCATATTCATGCCTCTGCCCAGAGCTCCATGGATTGCTCTGGATGGCTCTTTATACAGTTTGCATAATTTGGGATTGCTTTTTTTGGAGGTATCTAATTCTTTCCATGAGCTTTACATGGACCTTACAGACCAAACTTTGGAGAGAAACTGTCTGAGCAGCCAGGGATCAGGTTAGGAAGGCCATATTCCTGGTACATTTAAATCTGGCCAGAGACATCAAGGGCAACACGAAAAGGTTCTATAGGTACCTTGGTGATAAAAAGAAGACTAGGGAAAAGGTGGGCCCTCTCCGGAAGGAAATGGGAGACCCAGGATATGGAGAAGGCTGATGTACTCAATAACATTTTTGCCACACTCTTCACCGGCAAGTGCTCCAGCCACACCATCCAAGATGCAGAAGGCAAAGGCGGGGACTAGAAAAAGAACCACCCACTGTAGGAGAAGATCAGGTTTGAGACCATCTAAGGAGCCTGAAGGTGCACAAGTCCATGGGACCTGATGAGATGCATCCACAGGACCTGAGGGAACTGGTGGATGAAGTGCCTAAGCCACTATCCATTGTATTTGAGAAGTCATGGCAGTCTGGTGAGGTTCCCACTGACTGGGAAAAAGGAAACATAAACCCCCATTTTAAAAAAGGAAAAAAAGAAGACCCAGGGAACTACAGGCCAATCAGTCTCACCAATGTGCCCAGCAAGATCACAGAGTGAATCCTCCTGAACACTATGCTAAAGCACATGGAAAATAAGAAGGTGATTGCCAACATGGCTTCACTAAGGGCAAACTGTGCCTGGCAAAGTTGGAGTCCTTCTACAACCAGGTTACAGCACTGGTGGATAAGGAAAGAGCAACTGACATCATCCACCTGGATTTATGCACAGCATTTGACACTGTCCCACACAACATCCTTGTCTCTAAATTGGAGAGACACAGATTTGACGGAGGGACCTCTCAGTGGATGAGGAATTGGCTGGATGGTCACACTCAAAGACTTGCAGTCAATGGCTCAACGTCCAAGTGGAGAGCAGTGACAAGTGGCGTTCCTCAGGGGTCGGTGTTGGGACTGGTGCTGTTTAACATCTTAGTTGGTGACACGGACAGTGGGATTGAGTGCACCCTCAGCACGTTTGCTGATGACACCAAGCTGTGTGGTGTGGCCGACACGCTGGAGGGAAGGGATGTGCCATCCAGAGGGACCTGGACAGGCTGGAGATGTGGGCCCGTGCAAACCTCATGAAGTTCAACAAGGCCAAGTGCAAGGTCTTGCACATGGGTCGGGGCAATCCCAAACACAAGTACAGGCTGGGCAAGGAGTGGATTGAGAACAGCCCTGAGAGGAAGGATTTGGGGGTATTAGTGGGCGGAAAACTGAATATGAGCCAGGAATGTGCACTCACAGCACAGGAAGCCACTTGTATCCTGGGCTGCATCAAGAGAAATGTGAACAGCAGGTCAAAGGAGGGGATTCTCCCCCTCTACTCTGCTCTCATGAGACCCCACTTGGAATAATGTGTCCAGCTCTGGGGCCCCCAACATAAGAAGGCCATGGACCTGTTGGAGCAAGTCCAGAGGAGACCATGAAGATGATCATGGGGCTGGAGCACCTCCCTTCTGAGGACAGGCTGAGAGAGTTGGGGTTGTTCAGCCTGGAGGAGAGAAGGTTCTGGGGAGACCTTATAGCGGCCTTCCAGTACTTAAAGGGGGCTACAGGAAAGATGGGGATGGACTCTGTATCAGGGAGTGCAGGGATAGCAGGAGGTGTGACAGTTTTAAACTGAAAGACAGTAGATTCAGATTAGATATTAGGAAGAAATTCTTTATTGTGAGGGTGGTGAGATCCTGGCATCCCTGGAATTGTTCAACGCCAGGTTGGACGAGGCTTTGAGCAGCGTGGTCTAGTGGAAGGTTTCCCTGCTTATTGGAGAGGGGTTGGAACTAGATGATCTTTAAGGTCCCTTCCTACCCAAACCATTTTATGATTAAACGCTGCTGCAGTGGTTGGATAGGTAAAAGATAGGCAGAGAAATTTCGTATCAGCTCCAGCTCTTAAATCTCAGGTGATACTACTGGCTTTTGCAAAAAACATGTCACAGCTGAACCCAGGTAAGACATGGGAGACTTGGGGTCAGTCACCTCCTGGGCCTTCTCCCAAGCATTACAGTAACTCCTTATCCCCACCAGTGAAGCACTACTGAAAAAAAAAAAAAAAAAAAACCAAAAAAAAAACCCAACCCAAAACCTAACCAAAACAAAACAAAACCCCCAGAAACTGAAAGTGCCTGTCATTTAGAATTTGATTCCAATCTCACTTCATGGTGTAAATCAAAATGTCTTTCATTTTTCTTGTATTTCTGCCAGTAATCATTAAAAGGTTTTACAAAATAATCTTTCCTTAAGGCTACTAGGCACTGCATATTCAGGGAAAATAGTCTGGTTGTCATGATAGTTGAAAACATTCATCTTTCTGGATTTTGGCCTCACAATGCAACACACGTATCTCCTCCAAAAACATGATGTCTGCTCTAGCTCATTACCTAAACAGCTGACAAACTCCATTAATTTGACGTTGAGTTGGGAAAAAACAAGAGCTGTATACTTTGTAAGTCGTATAAGGACAAGCAGAAAACATTCCAACATGCTTTATCAGTATTAACGCATTTTCTGACCAATGGCCAATTACACAACGTCCTGCACCCTTGGAGAGAATCACCCTTGGAAATATTGACCTTGAAATAATGTAACCCTACTAGATGTCAGTGGAAGAGGTAAGAAAGTGAATAAGCTGAGGATGGCTAATACTATTCCTTTTTGAAATGAACACTAAGATATTTTCCCTTATAAGTCTGCATATATTTGTCTAATTCAAGAACTTCTGCTTTAATGAACTCCCGGAAGAAAATGTATAAACTGCTTTCCAATCCACTTCATAATGTTGACCAAAAACCAGTATTTTTTTAGTCAATATAGTATGAACAGTTCTGATTTTTTTTTATCAACAGATTGTAAGCTATCATTTTTATATAATGAACTTATATTAACTATTAAATCAATATTTAATTATTGAAATTACTGCAGTCTTTTTAGACTCTCTCCATCCATCTCTGCATGGTCAGAGTCACACAAGCTGGCCTGTGGTATGTAGCAAGCGAAACTCGATATAATTGCAGCCCTTTTGAACCTGAAAGTCCATGAAATACTTGAATCAAAATCTCAAGATCTAGGCAGCATGCCATTATTTTTTCACACAGTATTCAAACATCTTGGGAATGGCAAAGAGTAGAAACGCCAGGGGAATTTTACCAATCTGGCCACATCTGGCATTAGAATCAAAAATACCCATTCTGACTAGTACCATTAAAAAGAGATCAGGGTGATGTGCCAAACACAGAGTTGGTAAGAGCATACACATAGACAAAATGAACAAGGTCGAGTGCAAAACTGCTCCTTACCTTATGAACTTCTGAAGTCCCATTTTGATCTCATTTGCAGCAATGTTAATCCAGAGTTCAATCAAATTCAAATTTATGCCATTAGAAATGAGAGCAGAATTCGGCTCTTAAATTACAGCAGCTAAGCACAACAGATTTTCTTTCCCTAGGAGTGTTTTTAAGCTCCTGATAAAGAGACAGCTTTTATGTCTTTAATAATCCCTTCTTCCTGAATTCAACGAGGTAAGCGTCAAGCACACACTCAGAAGTGCTTCCTTCATTTCTTATGATGGCTTTAATGTATTTTAAAATAGTTTCTAAATCAGTGCATAACACATGCTAAAAGTGACGGAGGAATCAGGCTCAGACCTGATTATGAACGGCTGTACCACCCTCTTTTGACATTTTCAGGCAGCAGACAAAAGATAAATAAGAATGTGAAAGAAAGTCTCTGGAAAAGGGGCTGAAAAACTACACTGTACTTAATTATAGGATTTATGATCCAACTGACATATGGATTACTGGATCAAAGACTATGGGTTTTGCCATCTAGTGAATAAAGCTTACAATTCATCCTACTTCAAACCTTATCCGGCCTTTAGGCTTTTGCTATGTAACATGTACGTGTATAAATTCATGGCCTGCCTTTTCAGCTCTGCACTCCTTCCAGGCACTCAGATGTTCTTGCAAACGAGGAGCCCCACTTGCCTCATTTAACGCCTGCAAGTGTATGCTCACGTACAGTTACAAATAAGTAACACTTAACTGATGCATCAGTCAGAGAACTATCGCCCAAGTGAGAAAAATCTCCACTCCCTCGACAATCCTAATTTACTTTTACCCTCCACGGCAGCTCTGGTCCCACCACTGAGACCCCAGGGTTAACTTCCCATCACACTCACATCTTCCACATAAGGACTCGTAATGCCCACAAGATGGTCACCGTTCTCCCGTTCATAAAGACACGTGTACTAACCATATGACATCGTATTCATGAAGAACCAACAGCTCTAGCACTATGTTGAAAGCATGAAAAGTAAAGCACGGGGGCAGAGTTACGCTCATACAAACACCTGACCAGAGCCAGATTATTTCCCAACTGCTTATGGAGGAGCCACGGTCTTCTTTCTCTCTCAGCATCCTTCCTCCAGGGTTTACTGGAGGTAAATCACAGGTTTATATGCCCCGGCCAAAGCCCTTCCCAAATTTTTTTTTTTTTTTTTTTTTTGTCAGAAGCTGCCACAGATCATAGCGCAAGATTGCCAGACAAACTGGGAAGAGAGAACCGATAACTAAGTAATTGGCTAAATAACAGAGACCTGCTTTCTATAAACAAACTCTCCTATTAATCAGTACTTAGGAGGATGGATGTGGTCCAAAGTTAGATACTACCTGCTGCTTTGCAACTATAGTGGCATATATTTTAATAATGTCTTTACAAACACTTTTCTTCTTGGGGTTCTGGGCCTGGTTAAGGCAAAAGACAGTGAAACATTAAAAATGTGATTAAAAAATGAAATAATTGAAAGGAGCAGAAGGTTGTGTTAAATCTAAAGCAGTATTTGACAAAGCTGGCTCAATCACTGTCAGCTCTAATTCAACTGTAATTACCATAGTTCAGAACACTGAGCCCTATATTAGCAGGGGTGCAACAACTGTTCTGGGAGGTTTGGGGCAAGGCAATGTTAATCTATAGAATAGAAAATAATGAGCCATTTCAGGTTTAGTTCACTGAACAGTACACAGAAGAGCACTTCAGCTTTCCAATACCACAGTGAAAAAAAAAAAATATCCACACATAAAGAAGCAGTTCATCTGTTTTATATGGTAATTCAGTGAACAACGAGAAGCACCTCACAGCTGAGCTCAAACTCACGCGATGCCATACTGCCTGTTACCTCTACACCATTCTTGGTACGACACCTACACTTAGGATGAAGTATGCACTCAGGAACGACAGGATATGAATTACCACTGCATCATTATAAGTCTGTCTGCATGAAGAAGTCTGAAGCCAAGAAAGCATAATTCATCATGACAGATGTATGCAGCATCAGACATTTCTCACGGAGTTCGGATGGAAGAAATACTGGAGCATCTGCGGGCTGCTCTGCTCTTCAGGCAGAAAGCACAATCCATGGCAGCGTACATGCCCACTGTTATCTTCTGGAAACTAGAAAAACATATGTTATAGCAGATGCTGCTCTATGATTTCCCCCCTTGGACTCTGTTAAGGGCGTTCAGCTAATTGTAACGCTGTAATTAGCTGTGTTCTGTATCGCAAAAGCAATTTTTTTCTACACGAGTATTCCACTGGTACTACTTCTCCAAGGAACTGTAAAAAGGCATGTTAAGGTTAACAAATGGAGAAAGAGAGGGAAAGATAGTAAATTAGAATAAGTAGGCTAGACTGGATCTACAATGACTGCAAGTTCTGGGTTGCTCCAGAGCAAAGTGGGCTGACACGTTGCAGCCCTGCTGTGACATATCAGAGTGAGAAACCTTGTACCAGCTCCTCCAAGACAGATCTCTTGGTCCTTGCTCCATCAACCCCACATTTCAGATCAGTGGGAGATCCGATGGAGTAAGGACCATGGGGTTTTCCTGTTTACATTTTTCGCCCATGCGGAACAAATCCTCAACCTACAGCTGCAGCCCCGCCATCTGTTATCACTCCTGCAATTTCTGTGTGCAGAAGGACTCACGTATATTTCTGCACAGCGGCCTTGAGGCAAGGATTCAGGAAAACACTCCAACATGTGTAAAGCAATCCCTGCGTATGCCAGCGCTTGAGAAGAAGAATAACATCAGGCGTATCTTTAATTCCCTGAGACTTCAGTGAAACTTCAACCCATCAAAGTTAAGCTCCCACTTAAGTACTGCCAGAATAAAGATAGTTCCCTGAACTGTAAAACATATGTAATGCCGTTCATTATGATTATATAGCCATGTACAAATGTGGGTGTAAAACTATATATTTGCATGTGTAGTTACAGAGCCGTATAAGTCTCCTCCATATATGAACTGCTGTTACTCCTGCATCTGTGAATTTAGGTTAACACCATGTGCATATATGCCTATACTTATGCATAATTACTACTTCATTTTGGATAGATATTAACTCAGGACCAGATGTGCAAGGCTGCCTAATGATGGTGTCTTTCCATCAGAAATAAAGTTTTTTGTTTACAATTCTAATTTCAGTATGTTAAAAGTAATAGGTCATCAAAACATGTTTATATATACAGCTAACATCTCGATGATAGTTTCTAGGAGGGAGTTTCAGGGATAGGTACCTATGGGGGGGTAAGTTTGCTCCTCCCTACAACATGTACAAGATTCCTATGACAGCTGAGGTGAATGAGTGGGCTGAATGCAGATCAATGGGCTGAATGCAATTAAGGATGTATGACTGTTACAGATTATTAAATGGGTTTTGCAGTTGATTGCAAGATATACTCTGTAAACACATGAGCATAAAGATGCATAAATAACAAACTGATCTATAATCACATGGCTAAGTGTGATGCTCTCATGTCCTCTGACAAACTTGCTGAAAGGGGGAAGGGAAGGCTCAGAGACCTGATATGTCTTCTTATCTGCACAAATCCAGCCCTTGGTGAGCCTTAAATCACAAAACACCTCACAGCCACTGGCACTTTACCTGGAGGTCAAAATACTGAAGGCAAAAGCCAAGCAGCTGAGGAAAGAGAAATGCCCTTAGAGCCTGTGGTATGTTGGCATTACTGCCAAAGACCCCAGCTCATACCCAAAAGAGCTCGAGCTAGATTGCTCCAATACAACCGAATACTGCCCTGCAACTACCACTGCCTAGAAAACCACCTTTACCCAAAATGGCTAGATCTAAGCTAGTTCAGTCTGTCCATATAATTCACCATCACAACCCAACTGGAGTGCAGCAAGCCCAGAATGCCACGGGGCCGTTCAGAGTGCTGTGTCCCCCCAGGCATGAGGTGTGACACCAGCAGAGCAGTGCCACCGCTCCTGTGCTCCTGGCAGGCACTGCACAGAGAAGAGTACACCTCACACTGCTCTAACACCCTCATTAATAATAACCCCAAAGACATCTGAGCATCAGCGAAATCCTGCAAACCACTGAAGTGCTAAGGCTTGGACAATAAACTCAAGCCAGAGTTGACCTATAGATGAATCCTGTATATTTCATAACTGGTAACCATGATGCCAACAGGTATTATACTAAGTTATAATAAACCACCTATCCTGATGTATAAGGTGGAAGTGTTGAAGGCTGAGCAACAGGCCCTGAACTGAAACTGTTAGCCCGGAATGTAATCCCTAATGAAATATGCATGGAGGATGTAGCTACCTTGAATGTGTCTTTCCCTTCCTTTGTATGTGAATAGAATAACAGAGTCATGGAAGCAGGTGTCTGTCCCCGACACCTGATGTGAGACCTTGTGCATAATTCCATCAGATAAGCAGAGAAACTCCTTTGGCTTCTCCCTTGAGCCCTGGCCAGGCTCTGGGGGGAACCTAATGTGAGACTGAAACCAGGTATTTCTGCTCAAAACAAAGGTGCCAGCTATTCTGGCTTGCGGATTTGGCGATATATAAGGCTGGGCCAGCTCACAGCGACTTTGGAAGCCTCACCTATGGGTGGACACATCACGTAGGATTTCCCCCTTGCCGGGACGGGGTCTCCAAATCCTCGTTGTGACCAGGTGTGCCCAGCGACTACGGATCTGGATGATGGTAACGTGTGCAAGTGGTGATGGATCTTTCCTAATCACTATTCTCTTTCTCAGGTAGTAATGATTTGATGCATTACAAGGTATTTCCCTATTTGTTTAAGCCCGTTGTTCTGTCTTTTCTTACTGTAAGTTTTCTGTATTGTTCTGTTACATTATTTAGTTATTTTAAGTAAAATACGCCTGCTCTCTTCACTCTGGTATCTGAGTCTAATTGGTATCCCTGATCGGCAAAACAACCACCAAATGCTGCAGATAATGGGGGAACCCACAGCACCTGTCAGGCAAAGAACAACATCAGTGTCACTCAGTCGTGCTGCTCCCCATGCTCTTCTAAGATGGCTTGTCAAATCCTTTTTTTTTTTTTTTTCTTAAGATGCACCGTTTGCCTGACTTTGGGAGCATAGGCAGCTCTATGGACAGACAAGCTGTCTGGCAGCAGGAATTTACTTCCTGACGTAAAGCATGTGTGCAGCCGATTCAGGAACCAAACTGCTCCTCAGGAACCAGTGACTTGGCAGGAGAACTCTCAAGAGGGACTGTCTTTCTTGCCCTCTGGTTGTCTCCTTCCCAAATCAATGTATATAAGCACATGTAAATAACATAAGAATATACCCAGATTTTCCCTCACTGACTGCTCCTCCCATAGGAAACCAAGCTACAAGAAACCAGCTGATGACAACGGCAGCTGAGTGTCAGGAAAGGGTCAGCAGTACCATACAGACAGACCTCAAGGAAACGGCACTTCAGAAGAGCAGGTCCTTGCAAGGGCATGGTGTTATCCTACATTTGTCAGCTGGCACAGTTCAGTTGGTCCCTTGCTTTCATAACCCCAACACTTTCCTTGATTTCAAAGGTGAGGAGGAGGAGGACAGAGCAACATAAAGGCACATGCTAGCTGGAATTTTGTAGACCATTCATCAGAATAATCCTGCTGTAGTGGTGGAAGATGAAGTACATGCCAAGCGTAGCAGAATAAAGCGATGGAGTGCACCTCATAACCATTGCAAAGCCAGAACAAAAGCTAACATCACTATCAGTTAAAGGGGAGTGGATGATGCTGAAGGAAGAAGGTTTGAGCGTAGGGCAGTGCTCTTGAGAGGGACAACAAAACAGGGCTTTGCCACCTTACCCTCCTGTGCCACCCTACTCTCTTGTGCCACCTTACCCTCCTGTGCCACCCTACCTTCCTGCACAAGATTTGGTTCCGATCCAGACGGACGCAGGTCACGCTGTTGAGGCCAGACCAGGTGAGCTGCTTAGTGCTTGCAAATTATCTCCACCTCCCAATCCCCACCAACAATACAGGGATGCCCCTGGACCCTTCATTTCTCAGAGGTCTCGTTCCTGTCTCACGATTTAGTCCTAAACACCAAAACCTGCAAAAGGCTTTATTACTTGATTCCATGATTTTAAAGCAACAAATGGAAGATTCATCTCAGGCAAAACCCATGTTGTGCTGGGTCAGTCCCTCCTTTACTCTTTGTCTTCTTCCTGGATACACTTGGGAGACGGAGGTAGCTTTTGATGACGTACCCACACGCTTATACTTAGTTTGCAAATCCTACTCTGGGGAGCAGTTATCTTTTTTGGTAGTTTCTTCCATCACTCGCCATAAACAGGGTCCTGATTTCTAACCACGGCTCCTAGAAGCTATAGCTGTAGCAATAAATAGCAATAACAACAGCAGTAATGATAGTTATGTGGAAAACCATCCTTTAAAAAATGAATGGACCTTTGTGAAGATACGTAGTCCTGAGAACATGATTACTTCTTTCCTGCAAAGGGTATAACTGATCATAAAGTAGCAAGCCGCACACCCTGAAATGCCTCTCTTTGATCGCTCAGCAGTCAAATTATAATCCTTCATCAGGGATACAGCAGCTGCGTGGAGCCGTAAGAGAGCATTTGACGGGGATGTTTGTATCCCAACCGTTGCCATCCACCAACGAGGCTGCTCGGCAGCTGTATAGTATGTGTAATACTGTGAGGATCTGCACAGTAAGTATTTAGGGAAACGTGAAGTATTTTCCCCCAGACACAAACTCTGAAAGCACCTGATGGCCCGACAAACGGGGAGTTTCCAGGGCCCACACCTCCACCCTCTCAGCTTTCCCGCGGCAGACTGATGCCCCGACACCGCCGCCCAAGTAACGGCTCCGGGAACGGGGAGCACCGCCTGTGCCCCCCACCCTCCCCAGAGGGGGCCGCGGGGACCGAGCTGGCTCCCGGCTCACGAAAACCCACGGGAGGCTCCTGCGCCCGCCTCCCCGGTGCCGCGGGGACGGGATGGGACGGGGTGAAGCCTAATGCTCCATTGGGAATTAGGATTAAATTCTAACAACAGGGAATACCAGGCATTCCCTTACCCCGCTCCCACACCATACTCTCATAAGCTCATGATCTAATAGAACAGACCAAGTAGTGGTGGTGTGTTGTTTATGGGCTCAGTTACAGCTCTGATCTAAACAATCGTGGCGTCAAAATACGGTGTTAGACAACCAACAGATAGCATAGTTGCCGTTTCTAGGATCCTTTGGTTATCTGTGCATAAATTCAGCTGGGGTTTTCTTATTATGCCCCTTTGGTAACAAAGCCTGTGTTTTCCACTTTCGTCTGATTTGTTTGTAAATTTAACATGCTCTTGAAATTCCCCAGGGATGATACTATCCCTGATCTCCTCTTTCCTTTCTCCCTAGCTCAGGAATTGATAGGAGCAAGAAATACCAATTTGTATTAATCTAGAGCCACATGAATCATTCCTCCAAAGTCAGTTTTCAGAAAAATCTCAGTCGTGAATTTGTTTCTTCCCCGTTTCCCTATGTTATCTTAGTATCAGAGAAAGCAGAGCCCATCGATGCTGGAGAGACTTTCCACAGTTTTTGCAACAAGCCCGTTTCTTCCCTGCTGTTTGTACCTCAGAGCAGGGAGTCACACAGAGGATCCCTGCAGCAGCAGAAACAAATGGGGAGATTAGTTTTTGTAGTGATTATGTTTATTACAACGATGCACATCACAGCCCAGAGAGGTTATCAGAAGCTCTAAACTTTTTTCTTTCTTTTTTTGGTTTACTCTTTTATTTTTCCATCTATCACCCCAAGAAGAAACCCTTTCCCAACATCAAGTGATCAGGTTAAGACAGATAGTGGTCTTATGGCTGCTGCCAGTTATGCTTCACTCACATCAACAGGGCTAGATGATGGGCAAAAATAAGAGAAGTTTTCCCTTCAACTTTCAATAAAACATTTAACCTTCATGATTGTATACCAGGTCCAATTATTAGGTTGGATCCACCAACTTTACAGTTAGAAAAGAGTTCAACCAAAATTCTGATCAATACTCCTACAGAGGAAATATTTACACTTAGATGGCAAAACAATCCCCGTCTTTCAGTCTGCATTTGCAGACGTGTCCAGCTCCTTCTACTTCCAGGCTACATCCAACCTGATTTATATTGAGCCTGGAACTATATATATTAAATTTCCATTTCTTTCTATTTTGGGGGTTTTTAATAGAAAGCTTACATTCATCATACTATTAAAAAGCTGTACCAATGAACATAGTCTCTAGCCCTGTAGATGCACATGTATTCTTCCTCTTTTTTTTTAGTTCTTATTCAACTTCTTTCTTTTCTTTCACATCTTCCTTTGATTTTTTGTACTAGTGTCTCTTATCCACTTAGCTGTTGTCTTCCCCTCTCTCTTACTCTTTCCCCTCTCTCTCTCTCATACAGCTTTTCCAGCTTTGTTAATACTGACTCTCTTTCCATACTTTACCAATCTTTTTCACTCTCTTCACCCCCTGCACATCTCTGTGTGAGAGACAAAGCAAGAGAAAGTTGCTTTTGTCTCCTCATAGTCACATCGGTACCTGTGTGCACCAGGCAAACTGCAGTATAGTGCTTGAAAGTGCACTAATAATTTGGGAAAAAAATGCTGCTCCAGGTTACTCCAGCACAGTTCCTGGGGTGCCCACGTCCTTCCATTGGGGCCACTATAACACAGGAGCCAGACCTCAGAGAAGCCTTTCTAACTAGTTTGGTCAGTCAAGAAAACAAACACCAACATGTAACTCCAGCTATACCCGAGGCATTCAAGCCTTGATGCTGTAATGATCTGTGCTTCCAAATGTACTTTTGATAATTTGTTATATACCAAGTACATAGCCTGCAGGGAAATTTCAGCCGTTTTTCTTTACCTGAGTTATTCTTGCCATGTCACGTTACTGCTGGAAGAGTTTTCAAAATTATTAGATCTGCAACAGATTGAAGAATGATGTGTTTTATACAGTCCTGAATTGACCATATTTTTCTCAGGCTCCTGTTTTTAATTTGGACATTACACAAACACTATAGAAACTCCATTATCCAGACATATTTGTATGCCATTTTGGCTATAGCCGCTATGTGTCATCTTAGTCTCAGCAGAAAAATGGAGTTTTAATACACCGTTATGTTTTGAAACAAAACAGCTCTTGTTTCTTTTGAAGTCTCGTATGTACTTCTGGAGTTTTTACAAAGTCTAAATGAACAGGCACCCAACTCCAGCTGTACAGTTATGGGCACTGGACACCTAATACCTTTCTGCCCCTTCAAAAACCTCATTTCATAGTGAGATTCACTTTGCTGTGCCTGAGCATGTGGTCCTGTATGCAGGGCTTCTGCAGCAGGTGAATGGTGCATGATGAGGCACCAAATTACCAGGCACCAAATCCAAAACTTTGTGGCAAAAGCCTGAACAAGTAGACAGTTCTACCACATCTTCACAAAAGGTGTATTTGGCTCTTTTGACCGGACAAAAGAATTCAGTTTCAGGGCCAAAGTGTCTTTCATAGGAGATAATGGATCACCCATTATCACCTACCAGAAAGCAGCCCTGATACATCCAGCATCATAGTTCACCTTTCAGGAACATAATATACAGGGCTTTAAAAATCAATGCCAACACTTTCCATTGCCCCCAGAAGCTGATAAAAATCCTAGGAAAATAGTGGGGTTTCAGTCTTAGTTTCAATCAATATTCCTTCCCAATCCGTCTGAGTTACGTCCAAGGACACCACAGAATTAAATGTTTGCTGCTCCCAGCAAGAGTCCACCTTAGGCATTCACCTTTGAGGCATTAGAAATATGAGTAGTCCTATAAAATAGACTAAAATGTAACAGCCAACCCAGCTGCAGTAACACATTCCTACCAATTGCTATAGGGCTTGAGTTCTTTTTTTACTTATTTATTATCAGTTAAGCTAGTCACTTTTTGGAAAAGGCAAATTCTGTAATAGAGATATTTTCTCCAGCAGTGTGTGTGGCCTTGGGCTTTTGATTCCTCATCAACAGGGCTGAAAGTGGTCCTGAGGTCTTCAGGCATCTATGCCTCTCCAAAGCTTCTCTTGGAGCTCGATACTATGTGATAGCGCAGGAGCAAATCTTATCTTTTAGCAGATAAAAATTGTTTGAGTCAAGTTGCCTCTGCTATATCCCAGAAGCGAAAAAAGGATGATAGTGGTTTTATGTCACTGTATCCTTGGGATAGACTGCGCTGTGAACGTTTTCTGAGAAGCTCTTACTGCTTCACCTAATAAATGCACAGCAGGGGAAGCAGAAGGTGGTTTGTTCTTGTGGTCCCTACTGGCCCTGGTATTTCTAGTATGAGGAAGATAGCCATCTCTATGAAAAATGCACTCTAAAATTATTATTTCAGAACAAAAATACAGGGAACAAATGCTAGCTGAAGAGAGGAAGACAGTACTTTAGCTACTAGGGAAGGACAGGATTTGGTCAGTGTAGATGCTGTTCCCATCTCTCACGATGTTCTTGGATAGTCTTACACGTATTTAGCCTGGCCATTCCAAACCTTACTGTGTAGAATGATGTTCTTTGAAAACCAAGCTTGATTTATAGAAATGCTAAGGGCTGGAGAATGCCAAGAAGGCTGGCTGGCTCCCCACTCCTTCCTGTCCATTCTTTCTCCAAGGATGGAAATTCTCACAGTTGTCTGGAGCTGCAGTATTGTCAGCTGCTGAATGGCAGGAGTGAGTGCAAGCGTACACGTTGTGATGCATTAAATATGAAACATGGCAGTTTTTCTTGAAAGCACAAAAGCTCATCCTTTAACTAACAACACTCTTTCTAACCAGTGTTGGTAACTTGTATTAAAGATTGGTGCATCTTTTCTTTCATGAGCTATAGAAGTCCAGTTAGTAGAACAGACAACTAGATATATAAAAGCTTTTGTAAAACCTAGTTTGTTCTTTCTTTTTTTTGACAAAAGCTTCCTCAGCTCTGAGAGATGAATAACTGGTCACATCTGAGTGCTATCAGAAAGAAATCAATATTTAATTCCTGCCAGTACCTGCTTGAATTTCATTGTGTGCTATCAAAAACATCAGTCATGTTCAATAGCAGAGACTTCAGCACATGAGATAAGGCCTTGCTTTACTCGAGACTTTGGAAAGAATGAAGCCTGCTACAAGCAGTTCAAAACTCTATTAACCTGAATCCTTATACATATACACAGGCTGGATTGTGCTTAGCAAGCTAAAGGATCTTCTTCAAAGTGTTGTAAGTATAGAAAGAAACATCTAAATGATCATGTTTAACACAGGCAGGTTTTGAGATACAAACCACAAAGGTAAAGTGGACAAGAACAGGGATGTGAACATTCACATTTTTGGTGAATTTAAGATGTCTTTACCAATGTGGAAGTGTCTATGCGTGCTACACCAGTATTTTAAGGTTTAAGAGAGAAGGCTGATTATGAATTGCCTTTTTCCTTTGTTCTTGCTGTTTTGTGAGATGCTTAATGGAACGAGGTAATGTCAATGCAGATGAGTTCATAGTTCCAGCTATCAAGGTGAATTCACGAGAATTAAAAAACAAAACCCAATGAAGTTGAAACACAAGAATGGATTAAGTGCCATCATGCAGTTTAACTACAGTCCCACTTAAACCTAATCACATAGCTGAGGTGGCTAAGCTCAGAGCACTGTCGCCAAAGGCTTTCTGCAGGGAGGGGGGACAGGCAGTCTGGGGGAGCAGGTCACTCTGAGCCACGAACCGTGGGAATTTACAACCACCACGTTGCTCACTGATATGTCACAGGGAGGTAGGAGGCTTTTGGGCTGAAGATTTTGATGTAATTAAAAGCCAAGACCTGGTTTTATTTTTTGCACTTTTCAGTCACATTTCTATTCCTTTAGTAAATGATGATTTATTTTTTTTTCAGACAGTTTCACAAAAGGTATGTTTTGTTTTCCAAGCAGTCCCAGTTGATGATGCCGTTATGAGAGGTTCCTGCTGCCAGGGTTACAGAGCAAGAATTTCTCAGCTTCTACTTTTCACTTCTTCCTGAAGTTCTTTTCCTATTGGCTCAGAGTATCAAGCCCTACTGCAGGTTATATCTACCTGTCTGTTCCCTCAGAGGCAAAATACATTTTTCAAGACTCATGATTTGGCTTCATTTCTGATTTAACCAAACCCCACACACAACACAACATGCCAGCATCCTTCTAGAGACAGGTATGACCCAATCACAATCCTGACAACATCCCTATTAAGTGTGAGGCATTATTATTCCCAGTTTACTGACAGGGAGTCAAGGTGCAAGGAAACTAAATTATTTGCCCCAAATCATACAGAATATTTGAAACGTAGCTAGGAATTGATCCCCAGGCTCCTTAGTACATCTAGATTTGTAACCCCAAGACATACATACGTGTGACAGCCTGACGTTATATTGTGTAGGCATGATGTATGTATATATATATGAAATACATATATATACATATATCTAAAAGTTGATAAACATTTTTGTCTTCATATAAAGGATTATGACAATAAAGAACAAAAAGCAGGTTACATGAATAGCACTGAAACATTTCAGTCAAAATACCTTTAGAGTGGGGTTTAAGGATGAGAAAGATATTTGTAATTATAAAGCAAACTAGAGCAATTACCTGTTTGCACAGAGACATCTTGAAATACGTTAAATATTTTCCTGTGGCCATTATCAGGGAGAGTGTGGTCATGGCTAGATAAATTGACTGGTAAAAGTACTGTGATTCAGATGCGGAGTAGAATGGTAAAATACAGATCCATCTCCCACATCATTATTAAGTTGTCAGTCAGAGTAACTAAAAAATTAAAAAGGAAAATATGCCCTTGCTTTTAATTAACTAACCACACTGATGCAATTTATTAAAAAAAAAAAAAAAATTAAATCCACCATATCAGGCCCAATTTGGATTTCTTCTACACTTGCACACAGCCAGAGCATTGCCAGTGAATTCAAAGTGCCACGCTACAACGTAACAGGGATGCTGCTGGGAGGAGAACGGGGTCCAGCAAATGCATAGATACTGTTCTATAGAGAAAGCTTTACATGAAAGCCACTTTTTCTGAAGAACTAACTTTACATAGCCTTTAGCTTCCTTTGACTGTGAATGTAGCAGCCTACTTCCATCGGGCTATTAATTTTGCTTAATGATTATTAAGGTTATGATTATTATTGATTTGATGGCGATTAGTCTCAAATTTATACTATTGAGGAACTGACCCAGTATCCTTTGACTTCTGTTTAGCTGAGATCATTGGTAAGTGGATCAGGCCCCAAAGGTACAGTGAACTGCAGGCAAAATAAAGTGGCCTTATGGTTTATTGTCTTTTCTCCCTACTGTAATGGTGAAATCTGTAAACAAGAAAACCTCATGCCTGACAATCCTTTCCTCCCTCTCTTCTTTTTTCAGATCATTTACTCATCTCCCTGTAAAAGTAATCCCATCACATGCGTTTGAAGGACTTAGAGATGCCTTCATCATGTAAGTTGACAATATTTTCGATAGGCTTTCCCTTAATTTCTTGCTAGGAATTCTACCATAAACCTCTATGCCAAACATCTTTTTACAATAGTTTACAATTATTGCTAAAACATACTACTGGTGGAAAAAAAACACCGGGGAGGGATAAACAAAGCATTTCTTTGCTTATAAGCAGGATATAAAAGATTCTTTGAAAAGGTGTGATTTTTAACAGTTGTTTAACAGTTAGATCAGATAACGAAATACTAATCATGTTGGAGAGAACTGGATACAGTTTAATAGCCGATGATAGGAGCTTTTGATTGGCAGAGGAGATAGAAATCTATCATCAGACACTACCACTGCTATGATATCTATGGCATTCTGTGATTATACATTTATATAATATCCAAATAAGGCATTTCTTTGGTGTTTTGCACTGTGAGATAAGCTTGGCTGGGGATCAGTAGGACTGAACCCTTTGTTGGGTCTTTCAGTTTGCAAGCGCTGTAATTTTGCACATTGGGTCTGTGTTCCTTCCCCTCCCTTGGCTTTGTACCTTGTTTACATCAGGGGCTGAGACCATAAGGCTTGTCTGACTACTCCTGCCCTTATTTCTGCTGTTATCCACCTGAAAGATGGCAGGCTTGAGTATCCTTTGTTTATGTGTTGGGGTTTTTTTAATCTGCATTGAGTGGTCTCTAAAGGACAAAGTTGATGGCACCCCAGTGCAATGCAGAACAGGGGAATGACCTCCCCCAGAACCTAAGCAGCAGCACAAATGATGCCACTTTCTTTTCAAGGTGCACTTTTTCTACTTTTCTTCCCCTATAAAAAGCACACAGTGCATCAGATATTAAAATATATATTAGATGTTATATAATCTGTTTTCAAGGAAACAGAGAAAGCAGGAAACCCTTATGTGGTGCATTCTTGAAGGCAAAGACTTGAAGGATGAGGGTAATGCAGATGCCTGAATAGACTCAGCTGGACTAGTTTAGCTTTTAGTGCTCACTGGTTAAACAATTTTGGCCAAATTATAAATTTAGGAGTTCCTGTAGCTCTAGCAGGTGTAAAATAAACTCAACTCTGCTGCATGTATTCCACTGCAATGCAGTATTATAGTACAATCCAGTGGCACTGTATTTTTGCATTCATTTGCATCTGAATGATTAATGAGAACTTACCATTTTCATATGAGACCAACTAAAATCTACAAAGTTTCTCCTGCCTCTATGACTTGAGGCTAAACTTTCCCAAATCGTATGCATATCCTATTCTTCACAGAGAATGTTTTGTTCATTGACATTTCCCATTCCATAAAGAGAATTTAATTGATTTCTTTGTGTCCTTTTAATGTATCTCTCCAAATTAACAGTGTAGAAATCAATGCATTTGTCTCAAGTAAATCTATAGAACCCTTCATAATTTTATTGAGATTTAGTGTGACTTTGAAAAATGCATATTTTTAAATTATAAATCTCTAAATCATCTATTTGGCAATTCATCACCGTCTGTAAATCAGATGATAAATTATTCTCACTGCCATAAGTTATTCCAACATATAAGTAGCAAGCCGGTGGCAGGCAGGAGGGATCCCATGGAAGGACCATGTTTCAGGCCCCAGATTGGAAAGTCTTCAAGTTCTGCCAGCAGGCACTGATCCCTCCCAGCCTGTGAGTCTCCAAGGAACAGGCTCCTAGCAGGCCACTTGTTCTATATCCATCTTTCATTTATGAGTAACTAGTGCAATACTAAAAATAACAAATTTCACTGAATTCTGGTTATGGAAAAAATCATTAATATTTCTGTAAGAAATACCTACATGTTTAATATATGATTTCTAGTCTGCATCCCCCTTTGCCACTACAAATGAAAAAAACAATTCATTATGGTCTAAGGGTTTTTATATCAGCTCCAAAAGGAATAGTTCTCTTGTAATTACAACTGAAGCAAGATAACTGTCACAACTGTGACAATACTGACTCTGATTTTGTAGATGTATTCCAGTTGTTTAGAAGATATTTTTTCTTGACAGTGTATAATCTGAGGTTTAGTTTCTGTGCCCTTCTAGTCAATTCTGTCGAGAAAAACATTGTTTTGAAGACCTTTCCCCCTGTAATACCCATCAGTATATAATATTTGCTTTCAGGAGTCAATTTTGCGTAGCCCCATAAACCTTAATCTAGCACACATTTAACAAACATCAAATAAGTGAATTTTCGTTTTCTCTGTGTTCAGCATTGGTTATTCTTATGTACATATGTAGAATAGGAACATCTGTACATCAAAATCCAAAGTGCCTACAAAAAGTCATATAGGTCGGTGTAATGATGAAAAAGAGCCACGTTGTTTCAGTTTGCATTCGTGTAATGAAAGTGGCATTTAAATCCAAGAATTATTAATAAAGTGCACTGAATATATCTGTGGATTTCTACATCTGTGGATTAGATGACCATCATCCTGACTTAATAATAGTGTATGAAGCGCTGTGAACATTATCTACATCCTTGCCCATGGAAATAAATTCATGAAGCAGGACCAATGACAGGAGCAAAAGACTGACAGGCTTGGGTTCACTCTGTTTACATTAGTTCTGGCCCTTAGTGGCTACCTTACCCACAATTCACTGAGAAAACAGAGATTGGCTGCTACGGGGATACGTACTCCAAAGGACTGCCATTCCCTTTTGCCAAGACAGCAAAAGGCTGGTCCCTCGCAAAGCCTACTGGCACAGGCTGTCAAGATGACCGAGGTGAAGCATGGACACTGCTGCCAAACAAAAATTGGTAGGGGAGCTGAACAACTGTGCATAAAAGAAGGAAATACAGAGTGTGGAAAGCTAATTTCTGGTATCTTTTCCATTAAAGTATTGCTTTGTGTCTGCCTTTTTCATTATAGTGAAATCTCTCAGAGCGACTCCCTGGAGAGAATAGAAGCGAGTGCATTTGACAGCCTTCCCACTTTGTCTGAAATGTAAGCATCAGTTAAAAAAGGTATCCATGTCATGATTTAGAATCATCAAGGAGTAAACAGTCTGCAGAGAAGTATTCTTGGACCAAATCTTTCTGTTACTTTGGCTGGCTTTGGATTAGATCTTTGATGAGAAACATTCCTTTCCAAAGTTTCATAAAAAATAGTGAGCGTTCTGTAAGGTCTAGCCTTGGAGATCTAAATCATTTAAAGACATCCATGCATAGAAAGTCCCACTGCTTTCAGTGAGCTCAATGGCAGGAGCAGAGCTCTGTGAATACTACTGCCGGCACTGTCAAGCTTTCTGATCAGGGAAATAATTCGAGATGACAACAGATGAGAAAAACCTTCCTTTTTGAAGATGTGGTTTTCAAAGCCCTACAGTGTTTAAATACAACTGCTTAGTATGCATAGCTTCTTATGAACACTAACATATTGCTCAAACAGAACATGTACTGATTTTAAACTTGACCTGCATAACACAGGCATCTGAGAGAGAGAGCGAGTTAAAAGCAACGACTAGGAGAACACGCTGAAATATTTAGTGATATTTGAAACTATAAATCTGATTCAATATCTCATTACTGCCTTTTTCACATAGCATGATCAGCGAGGGGCTTAAAAACGGTGCAACTAAGTGAGGATTTTTTTTTTTTTTTTTTTTTTTTAATATGTGAACTCCATTGAGGCCTGATACTCACATGAGCAAGAGATACAGATTTGTGCACCTGTGATTGGGTCCAACTTCCACTAGAATCAATGGTGGGTTTAGGGAAGAAATAAAAGATTTTGACCCCATGCATTCACCTAGAGTTTATGAATAGCTTGTCATTTGCCTGTCTTCTAAAACAAAAAGCTAAGCAAGACCATCAAAGTGCCAAAGCAGACTAGCAAGAAAACCTGTTTGAATCTTGAATGCTCTACATGCTTCACATTGCAAGGGCTTGATGTCCCAGGCTGCACTTAAGGTCACTTTTAATGGATGATCAGGATAGGTGGGTTCAATGGCATTCTTGAATTTGAACTCTTGTTGCAATTTCATATGTGAATATCTTTAAATTTTGTAAATCATGCATAGGGAAGGAGCTGGGATATGGCTATTGGGCTTTTATGCAAACATACAGATTTACCAGACAGCATAGCTGTAGAAAGTGCTCTGCATGGGTCTGCCCATTTTTTGAGCAACCACTAGCAAACTGTATTTTTCACACACATCTCCAACCCCCAGTTTCTGCAGATGTAAGCAGGCATCTGGTGCTACTAGCCACTGCTCTAAGGAAGTCTGTGGTGCTCTTAAGAGGTCAAACCGTCTGAGGAGCTGCCTTTCCCCTGGCTAGGCAGAGCATCCATAATGTACTGGAAACAAGGGATGATGCAAAGGAATCTGATTGCAGAGTGAGGACCAGGCACACACACACATGCATGGAGCTCAGGCTCCGTGCTCAGCCCCACTGTCGAGCTCATCTGTTGGGAGGCACAGTCATCGGGATGGTAGCAGCTCCTGACTCCAAGCCTCTGATGTAAAGCAGTAGCTCACTGCATTAGGCAGGCCATGAGCCCAGAACACATATCCCAAAAAAACTGGCAGACAACGGCAAAATGCTGACTCCCACCAGTGACCAGGATATCCAGATGAGATCATCTCAGCTCAGTGAACCATGACAATTCAGGAGCTGTTAAATATTTTTGTCATCGTCCTAACAATTACATGCCATTTTTATTACCAATAGTGCTTTGAAAGGCAATCGCGGTATAGTTGTATAACATTTGTTCACAGCAGGAGACCATTCTGCCATATTCTGCACTTGACTGTTTTCTGGCAAAGCCCATCATGAGCAAAATTCAGGACCTTCCCAAATGTATTACAATTACAATGCTGAAGTATTTTTTCCCTCATTACAGATTAATCCTGAACACAAAAAATCTGTTGCACATTGAGGATGGAGCATTCAGAAACCTTCCAAGGCTAAAATACTTGTAAGAAAGAGTTCTCTTTCTTTTCTGTTTGCTTTATTTTCCCTCTAAAGGAGTAGACAAATTACAGCTAGGCATATAAAGAAAAAAGTTTTTCATGCATTACCATACACTAGAAGTACATACATCATTTACAATAGATGTAATGTGCAGTTAACCAATAGTGAGGTCTTTCAGTAGGCAAGAAGATAAAGTAATCCAGGGCAGAGCAGTAATGGACAAAACAGTAGTAAAGTCTGTAAATTAGTTCTGCTAAGTGCTTATTTGTAGAATAAAGCTTTCAGATTGACAAGGTACTATGCAAAAGGGGTAACTAAAATCTCTTCCTTGTGCTTAATGCAGAGAGAACATATGCTGCTTCTCTAGGACACTGCTTGAGGATGCTACAAAACTTAATTTTTACAGGCCTTACAAACACAGTTACTGTATTTGTCATTCACCTTTTAATGCATTGTTAAACTCGTATCTACCAAGTTGGGTTCTTGTTGCATCCACTCTGGTAATCTTTTCTCCCGTAAATAGGAATTATGCTTTTCTCTAGGAGCATTTGTAACACTGGAATAAGACAGTTTCCAGACCTGACACAGATCTTCTCATTAGAAGCTCATTTTATTTTGTAAGTAGAGACCCAACCTAACCCAGATGTGAGTCTTTTCCATCTTGTTCGTGGATTACTGACAAAAATACCTTCTTTTTTTACCTCCCAAAGGGAGCTCTGTGATAACCTGCATATGACAACTATACCACAAAATGCTTTCCAGGGGATGAACAATGAATCACTGACACTGTGAGTAAAATAATCCTAGCTCCAGTTGCTTCTGTGAGGATAACACTTTGCTTGAGGAAAGCAGGTTGACTTTATAAAAATCTTGAAATTAAGCCCCATACAATACATGTCGGTATTGTGAGTTAAATTTGAACTGCTTAGGAAACAGAGGGGTGTTCTTCAAGCTAAAAAACAGGTTTTTATCCAAAAGCTAACTTCACTTAGTAAAGAAAATAGGAGAAATCCAAATCCTTATCTTCCATGCAGTGTTGTTTTTAAAAATACCATCAACAGGACATAAATTCCAAAAGCTGTGCTGAAAGCCAAAGTCTCTTTTCTTTGCTCAGGGATGTGGTTTCTTAAAATAGTGCTTTCAGGGACTGATCAGGCTGATACTACTGATCTAACACTGCTGAGCTTCAGCTGCACAGGGTCCCTCTGCAGAGGACAAAGGGAGAGAAGAAACTGGTACAAAGTACTAATGCTTGTTCTTACCCTGATTGCTTTTGTCTCAGCTTACACTGATTCCCATTAAGTCCCCACACCCGACACTTTCCTTTTAGCAAGTTGTATTCATTGCTGCAGCCACCTGTGAGATGGGTGGGTCTGATGCTAACCGAGATGCCCCACCTGAGGAATGCAAAAAGCAGCAGAAAGCCAAGGTGAGGTGTCATCTGCCAGCACAGCAAGAACTACATATGGATTTCACAGCATATTTGTCCTCACAAACACATCACAGACTGAGTCTTTCTGCAGAATGTGGCCAACGTTCAGGTCTCCAGAGGGAGGCCCAGCTGAGCAACAGAGGGCAGCAACAGGCCACCTACTTTTGTGTTGTAGCCACAGACTGGAGGCCAGTAAAGCCAAACTTTACAGACCAGACTGATTTCTGAAAGGCAGTACACATCCAAATGGGGAGCCTTGCCTTGAGACAAGCATGTACCAAAACCCCCGCACAAAACTGCATGAATATTTGCACCCGCAAATGGGCTGTGCACATGAACAAGAACTGCAGTTGACTGGATTGGGCCCTTCATCAGGCCGATGTGCTGGCATGACAGTAATTTCAACACAGATTTTATGTATTGACCAATACCTTCTGAAACGGTTAGAGGAACTGAGAATAAATGTGACTGAAGACTACTCCTACACAATGTTAAAGAGGAGCAATTGCTTAGATTAGGGCATCATTTTATCTTATGAGCCTCTTTCCTACCAACAAGTTCTCAAAATAACTTCAGCAAAATTATGATTCTGTTAATGGTGCAAGAAAATGAACGTACAAGAGATGGAGAAAGGTACTTAAAATTTTTACGGTAACTCTAAAATGTATTAAATGGGAGGGAGTCTAACTCAGTCAGGAAACAGCCAATGATCATTTTTCTCCCATCCTGTTGTGATAGGGAGCTCACCACAAGAAGAAACGAATTATCTTATCGGCAGCTTCCTAATTATAGAGCTACGCGTTAACTCCACCCCATGCAGTTAACTGTAATTAGCTGAAGTAATTCCTGTTGTTACAGCATGGTCTGGTGAAACAGAAGTAATCCATGAAGGTGTAAAGTCAGCCTGCAGTAATACTTTACACTACAAATAGCTAATTTAGTCTTTCTAACAGTCTTTCATAGGGATGGGGAGATCGATCCTACATATTGTGTTTTATAAGAAAATTACTAATTTCAGCATTGTGCTGAGATAGACCCCTTCTCTTATCAAAGGTAGCCACGTGCTCCCCACACTTCAGCTTTTCTTAGGAGCAGGGTCTATAGCCCCAGTTTCTACTCTTCTAAAAACAAGTGAAAAAGCAACAACAGAAATTCTGTTTAATTTATAAACTGAGCCAAATTTTATATTGGGGGTTAATATTAAAGAAAAAAATACTGTATACAAATTATTATATTGGAAATGTGAACTTGATATCACAAATATTTTTGTCTCAGTGAAATCAGACCCATAGGTTAGATGTCCTAATGAAAGAAAAGAGCTGGACTTCAGATGCAGCAGAGCCCAGTGTTTAGGTATCTGGCCCCAGGATGGTGTTAAATGTCCCTGTGCAGCGCAGGGGACAGCAAGGTTTCCACAGCACAAATCAAGCCTGGCAGCAGTACTCTGGAGGAGCTGATAGCTCACTGATCACTGGATGCTGCATGACTCACCCCTGCCTCTCTGCGAAGCTGTCTCTTGGGCTGCTGGAAGGTTTCTCTGTCCACAAAGGATCTGCAATCCAGCAGCACTCTCCAGGCTTTAGAGCTGCTTTCCATCTGACACTTCTCTAGCCTTTGCAGTCTTCCATTTTCACATGCCGACACCACAGAATCCAGGTCTTCTGCCTCCAGGTTGCTGTCTGTGTGCCAGGAGCTTACCTGGACTAATGTCTTGTTTCTGGATCTCAGCCCAAGGTGGGCACAGGTGAGCTCCTTGGAGAGGGTGGAGGATCTATACATAAGCAGAAGCTCTCTTCAACAGCAAAACAGGAAGGTTCTTAGGGAATTTAAGCTGCAATTTTATCTTTAGAGTTAACATAAATCATGCAGTAGTTACCCTTGTTCTTTATAAGCAGACCTTCTAATCATTGAGATTTGAAACCTGTAGTACATAGCATAATCTCATCTTCTCAAAATCTTTTTCCCTTACATGTTTTTTTTAATCCCCAGTAAATTGTACAAAAATGGATTTGAAGATATCCATAGCCATGCCTTCAATGGGACAAAGCTGAATCAATTGTGAGTATGTTTTACCTCCTCAGTTTGTTTTTTTAAACAGTAAGCAGTAGTTTGAATACAGTCAAAGGCTCTTCCTTCAACTTAACCAGCTGCATCTTGAATTTCCTGTTACCCATTAGAAAACCACATTTCAGTGTCATTGTGACTCAGTTGATAATCCTGCAGCAATTACGGCTTTTCCTGAAACACCATCCCTTAGCACGCTGCAGTTTTTATGAGTAAAGCTCATAATTTTTAATAAAATTCAATAAAATCTTAAACTTACCAGCAATAGTCGAAAGCTTGAAACTGTACCCCAAAATGAGGAACTTACATACTATGTCTGGCAACATCAATAGTTTTTAAATCACGCTCTGGGATCTGTCTCTTGGTTTGGGCAAAACTTTTGCATCTTTGTACGCTGCTACTGCAGCAAAGGAATCAGACTGGTTGTACCTGGTTTAAGTCAAATGAAACTGGAAATGATCAGAATTAAGTGTAGATGATAGTGGTGTGATGGCATCAGCAGAGAGAAAGGTCATATGAGAAATACAAACACTCCCCAGGCCAGATATTGCAAGGACAACCACTGTGGCAGGAGTAGGGATTGAAATAGACAGGAAAAAGCTGCCAAAAAAAGGGGTTATTTTAAAATACAGATCTAAAGAGAATTAATGTTTGATTCCACAGAATCCTGAAGGACAATAAGAAGCTCAGGTGGATACACAACGATGCCCTGAGAGGGGCCACAGGGCCAGATGTCCTGTAAGTATCCACTGCTCCATTAACTGGGTTTATAGGTGTTCCATGGGACCTGTGTTGTGCTCTGTGGGCTGCATCATCTCAGCAGACAGGCTCTGAGCCTGACAGGGGACTTGATCTCTCACCCTCTGCTTGTAAAATGGAAACATGTCAATGAGATGCCATGAAGTTACAAGGTGGAAAGCTGAGTTTGCATCGTGACAAATGCGTATCAGCCAGTTCTAACATTGGCATTGACCTCAGCTTCTTAGATATTTCAGCCCTTGCTTTATTTGTGTCAGATCCTCCTGATCCTATTCCTGTGCCTTATATTCTGGTATTGCAAACTAACTTGTCTTTTGGTAGGATGACTATGTTTTTACAATATATTATTTTAGAATTTGATTATAAAAGTGAACTATTTGATCACATGCTATAAGCCTGTGCTAAATAAAACACATTATTATCCTCATGCTTTATTAATCAAGTACTTACTGGAGGGCTGCGCTGCCTGTAACTCCATGCAATAAAGCACAATGGATGGTTCTGTAAATAGCACTCTGTGCCACATGTGCCATTTTGTTCCTTTTATTGGTGCTTTACAGTACATGGCATTACTAACATCACTTTCACAATTGCAGCCTTTTTTCCCCTGTTTAATGGACTGACTCTGAAAATACTTAGTCATGTCAATCACTTTTCCTCACACAAACAGCCCCTCTGAAGTTACTCTTAAGCCAGATTGCTTAAGTTTGTCTTGGCAAGATTGAAGGATTCTTTTATGTATTTTAATTAATGGCCATTTAATCAAAACACCTAGAACAGCCCTTCAGAGCCAAGCAGAGAACCAGGAGGGTGTCCTACCTGTTGGCTGGCTGGAGAGTCACATTCACTCACTTTCTCTCCTTTTCTCTGGCCTAAAGAGCCATTCCTCAGTTGGTGCACAGTGGCTTTCAAACAGAGAGCTCAGGACACAGCCCCTGATGTGGTGGGTTTCAGTTTCCCCAGGACAGAGTGATCTCCTTGCCTCACTGAGGCTCCTGAGCCATGGGGATGCTCTTACCCTGCTGCTCTGTAGTTTCACAGACTGTTTTTGTGAGCTGGGCATCAGGTGCTGAAGCAGATTTAGACTTTCATGAAAAAAATGAGTCACTGTTACCTATCATCATGCTTTGGTGGTATTTTTATACGTATGAAAAGAAAAAAAGAATGCTCTCTTTATTTCACAGGGACGTTTCTTCAACAGCACTGGAGTCCCTGCCTAGTTACGGACTCGAGGCCATTCAAGTCTTAAATGCAACGTCATCTTACTCGTTAAAGAGACTGCCACCACTGGATAAATTCAGCAGTCTTCTAGAAGCTGTTCTAACGTATCCCAGCCACTGCTGTGCTTTTCGAAATCTAAGGACAGAAAAGTAAGTCCGAATAGCACATTATTGTATTGTAGCACTTCAGAAGCTCCAAAATGGCAATTCTGCTTTATTCAGCTCCAGTTGGAAGGAAGCTGTGGTACATAGCAAGGCCTCACACAAAACAACAGATCTCTGCTAAAGCCAGGAAAATTATCTTCACTTATTCTAGCACAGAAATGGATCCCATTCTGTGCCAAGGATCTGCCAGCAGGAACATTATTTTATGTTTGCTTAAAGCTTATATTTTTGTTGGTATTAAAAAGCCTACTGGCACATGGAAGATAGATCTCCATCAATAGCATGATCAAAAAAAAAAAGAACCCCTGTAGCCTTTAGCTATGTAGCCTATTTAATGCAAGTGATATGATGACCTAGTAGAAAAGGCAGGCTTTCAATTACTCACCAAAATTAGGACCTGACACAAACCTACAGAAAGAGGTTAGTCAGTTTAGTTCCAGTCATTTCAGATAACAATAGACAGTATTGTCTCCCCACAATTGGAAACCGTGGCATAGAGACCGCTTTGCATCTGCTAATTTGGGGCAGTCGATGTGAGACAACTGAAGCTAATTTTTCAGCATTTTGTTTCAAAGAAATCAACCCTCGGTTGGCATTAGGCAGCCAACGCAACTCTAAATGAGTTTAGCTGAAGCTATGAGGATGCCTCACTTCTCATCTGTCTCAAGTGAAGGTTACAGAAAAGACATACTTGAGCAGTCATTTGTGAGAAGCCTGATGTGTGACTTGCATGCCATCACATCAGAACTGCGTTGCAAAGGCAGGAGTAGAGTCCAATTCTTTAGGGTAAAATTAGGGGTGATGCTATGCTTTCTCTGCCTACCTTATTTTACTAACTGGTTCCTGCTTCTGCAGAAATAGAGCAGAGATTCTACAGTCAAGGGTTTCCATTGCTACTGAACTCTGATACAGTCCCAGATCAAGTCTCTGAGTGTATTAAATGCAGAAGCAACTCTGGGACAGAAAAAAAATTTTATTCATTTTCAGGTGCTTGACTTTGCAACATGATCATACTCTATAAAAAAAGTGGTTCTTTAGTAAGTCACTTTCTTGTATTTAGTAACTGTTTCTTAGAAAACTGGAAAAAAAAACCCCAAACCTGCAAATGAGGAAACTAGACTGCCCTCCTAACTGGGGCATCAGCAGGGTTCAAAGCAGTGCTGATGACCTATCTGCACAGCCCCAGCTGCTGCAAAAACCTTACGAGCAACCGGCTGTTATCTTCTGTATGGCCAGCTACTACAAAGGAATGAGAGACAGATCTCTGGCTGTTTTCCTCATCATCTACTGATGACAGTGAAGACCACAGAGACTGAGATCTCCCAAGACCTTCCCAGGTTACACAGGGAAGAGTCTTTGTGTTTGTATGTATTCTCATGGTCACACAGCTGTAGCCTCTTTCTCTCTTTCTACCCCCTTCTGTTGCTCTGTACTCTACATACAGTCATCTCACCCATTTTTTACTATCCCTGTCCCATATCCCATTCCTAAGCACCTACAGACCACACTCTAATCAGTGAGATATGGTGACAAGGTCTTACATACATCTGACCAGGCAAGCAGGTTCACTTCAGTCATCACCACAGACATTACGGAAATAAAGTCCTCAGACCAAATATTCTTGAGATTTCTGGGGTACAACTGAGCTGTGTAAGAAAGGTGGAAGGTAGCATTCAGTTCCCTAGACTTTCTTTCACTGCCCTGAATGGGGGTGGGAGAAGCAGTTTATACCACATCTTCAAAAATTTACAAGAAAAAACAACAACAGTTGCCATCCTGTTATTTACAAGCATCACATAGGGGCTTAGATTGGTATCTTATTTCTCTCATTATACATAAAACTTCCTATAAGCTTCCAGGTGTCCAGTTCTCTTAAAAGTACACAGAAGAGCTTAGTATTTTTGCTGTCTCTTTCTACTGTTGCAGACAGATCCATTTCCATTCACACTGGTAGAGTACCTGGCCCATAGTTTCAAAGCCTCAAAACCAGAGATTTTGCCAAATACGTCACCTTTCAAGTTGTACTTTTCAAATTGCTTTACTTCCAGCATGTAAAGTCCACCTCCAGATCCCAAACAGTTTTTAAAAGAGACTATTGGGCCAGCTTCCAAGCATTTGTTAACAAGCACTTCTCTAAAAGCCAGTGTAACTGCTACCACTCAACACTGGTGGAGAATCTGGGCCACTTCAATACAATATTGCATAAGGCAAAAGATACATTTTAATTCCAGCTCAAGTTATTTCACTATAAAAAAATACATCGTAAACTATAACCAAGCCAAAAGACCATTCTTGTAGCCCCCATGAGGTATTGCCTACGGTCACAGTATTTTCAGCCTTCCCCTCCCCACTTGGAGGTCTGCATGACCGTTCACACTGCCATGAGGCCATCTCTGACTTACCTTACATGTCTGTGAAGACCACTTGGAGAGAGATGAGAATTTCGCTGAAATCCAGACTGAAACTAACTTTCTTTTCATCCTTCTTTCAGACAAAATTCCTTGCTTTCCATTTTTAACAACTTCTCCAAAGAGTGTGAAAGCACCATGAGGAAACCAACTAATGAAATACTGTAAGTACCACTCTGCATACAGATAGTGGAAGTAGCAAATACGAACCTCCCCCTCCTGCTGTTCATGTGCTTTTTCTAGAACAGCACGTCTTTTGCTGCCAATTTAGTCACCCTTACAAGTTGCACAGTGGTAATTTTACTATCATTAAACCACGATTTGTAATTTTTATGTTCAAAAGGAAAGGGGAAAAACCCATAATTTCATGAGCTTTACTGACTCCAGCTTCTCTTCTGAATTCTTGAAAGACTTTCAAAACACTGAATATATATTTAAGAAAGTTAATGGCCTACATGGAGACTCTTCATGCCCTGAGATAACTGCAGTTGTTTGTCTGATTCATAGAAGAGCTGCTACTGTTTGGGGGTTTTTTGCCTAAAGAAAGGATAAGTAGAAGTCTGTATTATTAGTAGTCTTCCATGGTAGAAAGAGCCCCTGAGTTAGAAGTGTGATGATCCCATGCAATTGGTTTACCCCTTTTAAGTGTGTCTTTCCATATCATCACAGTTCTGCTTGACAGAGTTCAGTGGGACAGTGAAAAAGGCTAACATCAAAACTGTTGCACTGGCCATGCTAGATGACACAGGCTCTAAACCAGTATTTAATGGAGAAATTAAAGGATTTGCTACTATTTATCCCTCTACAGCTAAATGGAAGACCTTGGGACTTCTTATCAGCCCTGACCTGGGGTCAGAGCATTGTAAAGTCTGGAAAAAAACAAGGTTATGGTCACAAAATTCTAACAGCTAAATACAGCTGAAATGTGATTGATTCACTGGGATACTGACTTCCTTGGGCATTATCTTGTTTGCTGGTTGGTCAGGCCTCCTACACTTGCCATTTTATTTTATTTGGCCTTTTGTAAAGCAGCAGCTGCCTTTATTCTCTTGTGACCACTTCTCATTTGCTGCCTGTCTGAAGCTCCTCTGAGTGCCTCACTTAGTCCTGTCCACTCCACTCCCAACTACAAAACTGAAGCACTTCAGGACTACAAAATGGCAAAGTCCAAACAGTCAACAAGACCAAGAATATATTTCCTCTATCAAGGGTGGCTTTGTGGAGAAGCAAGGTGAGGCAAGGAGGTAAACCCAGAACATTAGATCACATTATAAAGGCAAGTGAAGTAACACCCCAGTGAGGAATATGATCACACAAATCAACCAGTGCCTGCTCCAGTTATCCCCCTGCTTCATGTGAGCATCTGTTGCACTCCTGCTGCATTAAATGGGCTGTCCAGTCTGTTGGCTCCTGAAGCTTTTTTCTTTGGTAAATCCCAATCCCAGCAATTCTCTGGGCAGACATTATATTGAACAAATGGAAGTAAGATCATGATTCATGAGCTGAACGGCTGCAAAGTTTGGGAACCACAGCAGAAATCAGCTGAAAGTCCCAAGCTCTTAGAAAAAAACAAAAAATGCAGCTTGCACACAGCAGCATGTTTACATGGCCTCTCAGAAAATCACAATCATTCTTTATTAATAAATAGTCAAACATATTCCCTGCTCTTCCAGTTTAAGCCAGGCAAGTAAAAGCAAGACATTGGGCAGTTTTTAATGTAAGGAGAGAAGAGTTAGGATAACAAGATTAGGAATTTATTTGCCCAACGGGAATAGCTGAATAGCATCTCAGCTTCATTCAGTTAAGAGCCTGCTCCAGAAAAACAGTTTAATGCTTCAGTAGATGTGGAAGTTTAAGCGTGTATTTAAGTTATCCCAAAGCTACCAGTTTTCTGAAGAGTTGTCCTCAATAGAGATGCTTTCCAGGTCTTACACTGAGGATTGAGTGTTTGCCCAGCAAACTCTCGGCCAGGACAACTGGGTGGTTGTGAAATAGGCACCTGTTCTGGCAGGGAATCAGAAAGAGAAAGAGTTTGCTTTTGAAACGTTTCTTCTTTTTTAGGCTTATCCCCACACTACTGATGACCTAGAGATGAGAAAGGTGTATTTTAAACACATAAAACATTTATAATTAGGCATTGGATCCAGTCTAAACTTAATATATTCCTAGCCATCAGCATTATCTAGTTAACCATGCACCACTTCGCTTTATAATCAGATTCCTCAGCACTTCAAGTCATATGTAGTCTCAGGACTTTGGTGAGTGTGTTTCCTAGGGAAGGTGAGGGTGCACACTCAAAGTCCTTAGGTTATTTTATTTTGGCTTCTGTAACTGATAAACCTACATGCATCAAACCTATAAACCATCAATCAGAGTGTTACTGTAATTTGAACTGCAGTTTACTGGCAGCACGAGAACCATGGCTCACTTACAAAGCAATGATGATAAAGTGCTTACAAATAAGTTGTTTAAGAAAGCATTCCTGTGGATGTGACTATGAGCCCTGCTGCTCTCCAAGGCTGCTACCCAAACAAAAAAGTCATCCTTGCAAGGCTTTATTATATGTAAACACCCTGTAGAAACACATGGAGGCAGTAACTGTTTTAAAAACAACGGTTATCTATTGTATTTTACAGAAGAGTGTGAGCAGCATGTAACAAATAGTTCACTTCTATTGTGGGGGGTTGTTTCTTTAATAGTTACAGAGATGACTCTTACAAGACATCACCATGGTCAGCAGAAAAGAACATGTACCCATTCGCTACAGATGAAGAAGCCTCTCCTTACAGCTACTCAGCCATTTTTGATTACAGCGCAATGACCGGCTTCGACTTTGAGTATGACTTTTGTCAGCCTAAAATACTCACGTGCACTCCAGAACCAGATGCATTTAATCCCTGTGAAGACATCCTGGGATACAGCTTTCTCAGAGTCCTCATCTGGTTTATAAATATCCTTGCCATTGCTGGCAATTTCACTGTACTCCTTGTTCTCATAACTAGCCATTACAAGCTCACCGTTCCTCGCTTCCTCATGTGCAATCTCTCCTTTGCTGACTTTTGCATGGGACTTTATCTGCTGCTCATTGCTTCTGTCGATGCCCAGACAAGTGGTCAGTACTACAACCATGCAATAGACTGGCAGACAGGCGGTGGCTGCAGCACTGCCGGCTTTTTCACCGTGTTTGCAAGCGAGCTCTCGGTGTACACACTAACGGTGATCACTATAGAAAGGTGGCATACAATCACCTACGCCATGCAGCTGGATCGAAAGCTACGACTGAGGCACGCCGTGCCGATCATGCTCAGTGGCTGGATATTCTCCATTTTAATAGCAGTGCTGCCTCTCTTAGGGGTCAGCAGTTACATGAAGGTCAGCATTTGTTTGCCCATGGATATTGAAACAGGTCTTTCCCAAGCCTACATACTGCTGATCTTAGTGCTAAATGTTGTCGCCTTCATTGTCATTTGTGTTTGCTACATTAAGATTTACATAGCTGTTCAGAATCCAGAGCTGATAGCTGCCAATAAAGATACCAAGGTCGCCAAGAGAATGGCAATACTGATCTTCACGGATTTTACCTGCATGGCCCCCATCTCCTTTTTTGCCATATCTGCTGCCTTTAAAGTACCTCTCATCACTGTGACAAACTCCAAGATCTTGCTGGTTTTATTTTACCCTGTCAACTCCTGTGCAAACCCATTTCTCTATGCAATTTTCACCAAAGCATTTCGAAGGGATTTCTTTCTGCTGATGAGCAAGCTTGGTTGCTGTAAGACCCGAGCAGAGCTTTACAGGATGAACTATTTCTCTGCTTATACCTCCAACTACAAGAATGGCAGCTCAGCCACAGGCCCCAGCAAAACCTCACAAGCACTGCTGTTCTTGTCAGCATTAGAGAAGCCGTATCCTGCAGTACAAGACAAGACATCTTAAAATGAAAATTAAACCAGAGCGCCAATAGATGCAGCACTTTACAAGGCCAGCTGTAATGACTCTAGTGACTAGGGATGCTTTTATAGTATCTTGCAGATTTCATAATAAAAATGCCAATCAATAATTCTCGTGCAATGTAACTGTTCTGACATTCAAAGTGGTATTTTCCCTTTTCTTCTTTTGCAATCATAGGCGTGGAAGGTGACTGTTAGGCAAAACCCTTTTTTTGGGGAGCAACCAGAGGAGCCCAGAAGTAGTCAAGTTGCTCTTGAAGTTAACAGGTACTGTAGTGATTGCAGTCTGGCTCCTTTCCCACCAGATCTGCTTCTCTGGGGTATTTAAAGCCTGTCTGCTACTTTTCATGCCTTTTTTTTCAATTCCTATCAGCTGCACTGGCATTGTTGGGTTAAAGAAAGGGGCACTAAATTAGATGTCTCCCTTTCATCAACAGAAACTTCCAATTACACAGCCACCTACACACAGTTAAAGAACAGCGTTCAAGCAGTAGTTTGTAAATATGTCACCAAGGAAAAAAGTTGACCTGCTGAACTTTTGTTAGTAGCAATTTTGCAGTTTGCATTACATCTCAATCTGAGCTGGTACATAACTTGAAATTAAGAATTATCACATACACAGCCATGTATGATCTGGAAATCACAAGAGATGCAACAGTTGTAAAACCCCACTTGCTGCACACAGGACTGTATTTTGTGTATCATACATGCACATACACAAATCACGTAAGATGCAAAGGCTCCCTCTCAGCAGCAGCATAGCTGCTTCCTGCACAGGCAAGTAAGTGCTGCCTTGTTTTCTCTCCTGGGGCAGTCTCATGAATTGTTTTTATCTGCCCACTCTCCAGTATCACCAGTGCCAGTGGCATCCAGGAGGCACTGGGGCCTCCTCAGCACTCATAGTCCAGCTCCATTCCCAGCTGATGAAGCAGAGTAGTTACTTTTTAGTGACTGTGTTTTCCCATAAAAATCTATCTTTTCTTTCACCATGCATTACCCGATGCTAAGGAGATCCAGAATCGTGGCTGTGTTCCTAAGTAAGAATTGAGCATTCCTTTGTCATTGCAGCGTATTTACTTTGTCCACAGCAAATAAGCTGTCACCCTTAGACAGTTCACTTGCCATGAACCAACGCCACACTATATTGAAACTGGAGATTCAGATGTGTAAGCTCTTACCTGCATCGTATGGGCCAATCTGTGCTGGGTGACAAGCTGCAGATTGCATTGAATGCCAGGCAGGATCCCTGTGGGTGTCTACCCCAGGCACATGCTAAGGAGGCTACGTTCTGCACTGCCCAGTCTTCTGAAAATGAGGTGCTTAGTTATCGGAAAGTTCATGGTCCTGTGGGCAAAAACAGATGCAAAAGCTGCAGACTGCAAATCAAGCAGTCTTTAAGTTGTTTATTCCTGACAGATTGGTTACATTGCCTCTGATGGGAGGAACACACTTTCATTTCATCAAACCAATGTGGTAGCATGAGACCTACACCTGGCAGTTTATGATTCACAGGTCAAGCAAATGCATTTTATTTGGGCTTGTAGTCGAAGTTTTAGCATCTTAGATGACAATCTGTAGATGATAGTCACAATATCTAAAGACAGGTCCTCAGCTGGTGCAGCTGTGTAAGATTTGCGCTTACTCCAGAACAGTCACAATTTAACAGATCTTGATGGCCACTGAAAGTGCACATTTTGATACATAAGAAAATAGTATTATTGCAATCACTTTAAACCTCTTGCGTTCTCCTTCTCACCCAGGTTCTTTGCTTTAAAGTCTGTGACAGCAACAGAGTAAAAATCTGCGTTCCAAAGTATGCCTCGTTGCCAAAACACTGCACTGCAAATTAAATTTGCTTCACATTAAAGAAAGTAATTCTTTGTACTAGTGACTGGTTTATCATTAGCTTATAGTTGTGTTAATTAGAAATAACATCTCTCTGATCCTCTCTTACCTTCAGTTTAATGCCATGATTTCAGTCAGTATAAAAACTCTGTATGTAAGCACAGCTGTACTCATGAGCAGTTCACACACATGGGAAATGAAGTGAGATTGAGATGAGACTGTTAAAACTCTACTGTTTAGCAGTCAGTAAAAATTCCATATGATGCACCTCTTTTTACACACCAGCTCCTGACCTTAGCAGATGAGCAACAGAAACTAAAGACAGTAACTACTTGGCCTACAGCTTCTCTGTCACCTATCTCAGAACTGATTTTCAAGACTCGTTTCTTCACACAGTACATGGAAGAGTCCTGCCATGATTTAGAACATGCCAAAAAAATGTCTTGAGTGGGCAATAACTGATTTACTTACATTATATGTTTCAACAAGACAGGAGCTTGCAAGCACACCCTTCTTGTCCACCTACAACATAACATTATCGAGAAACTACATGGACAAGAAATGAGTTAGAAATAGCAACTGATAGTACCTGTCTTCCAGTGCTGCTTAGGTAACAGCAAAGACATATGAGAACTGTGGGCATTTTTCTTTTCGTACCTTCTGGAAGTTGAGTGAACTCTACCATTTAGAAAATAGTTGCTGGTTAAAAAAAAAAAAAAATCCAACACATAAACAACAAAAGTAATTTATAAACTTCAATTTTTTTCTATACACAAAAGTGAGCAAATAAGTAAAATCAATACCTTTTAATAAAGATTTAGATTAATGCTAAAGCTTCTTATGAAAGTTACATTTGCTATTCTATCTCATTATTTTTGGTAAACTTACCTTCCTTCTGGTGTAAAGTTTTAGACAGCCATTTACTGAAGTATCTTTGATCGCCATGACTGGTATTACACACATCTGCACCAATGTGTTTCCTAAACTCTAAGTAGCAACAATCAAAAGCATTAATACATAAACTATTCAGATCAAAAGCACTCTGATCCAATTACTGCTCGTCACAGGCTGCAGTAATTAGCTAACTGAGCTTAGATTTTAATAAACATTTTATTCCAGTACAAAAATTCCTAACTTCAAATATATTTAGTTGTAAATGTCTTATTCAGAGCTGTAAGTCTTTGCCAGTGTTCATTCAAGAACACTGGAAACAAGATGTAGGACAACTCTTGTATGCTTAGATGGAAGAAAATGAGTCAGTCCTACTGCAGGAGTCCAAATAGACAGTCCATAGCTCTGGACTGGGAAAACCACTGCAAGTACCCCCCAAGGAGTATCTGCAGTGTAGTTTGGAGAGAGCCAGAAGATCTGCAGTGTTAGGAATTCAGTAGCCATTTTCTCAAATATGGGAAGGGTCGAGATAGCGAGAGCAAAACACTAATCCTCTAAAGCTTCTGTATTTGATAGCTCAGGAAGGCACTGGATGGAGCCCACATTTAGGTTCCTTCATGTTGAGAAGGTACTGGGTTAGAAAATGCAACTAAATGAAAACCCAGGAGATGCTTGATGCTGTAGCTAAGCCATCTCCGGTGTCCCTTCTGATGCAGGTCAGCTTTGACCAGGGGTAAGTAACTGCCAGCTATGCATATGGTCAGCAAAGCTTCAGGAAGAAAGATGGCAAACAGTCCTTTGAGATTTTAATTGCTGACAGTACACGCGATTTGTGAAGAAGCAAAAGAGGATGAAAATTATCACCAATGCCCAAACCGTAAAACTCAGTAGTAGTTTGGGAAGTAAGAGACCAGTGTTAAAAATACTTCCAATCCCAGCTGTACAGTCTATATAATCAGTATCATACTTGGACTGCACAGAGGTTGCAGCAAGCTGTCATAAAAAAGGGAGAAATTCCTACTCTGATACTTTTATCCCACACATTTCAGCATTCATTCAGAGGAACAAGGTCTGAAAAGGGACAGGGAGAGAGGAGATGGGCAGCTATAAAGACTCCTCACCTTCATGTGGAAGAAGTCTTTAACACCACAAGCAGAAAGATGGGGGGAAAAAGGAGAGAGCTGCTCACCTTAAACTAGCTAAAAATTAGGTAGCCTTTAGCCATTTCACTATATAGTGGCTAGCATAAACAGGTGCTATTCTCAGAAGCAACATTCAGATACTGTGTGGCACTTAGTGAAGGGTGCATATCCAGTCACATCCCACGTATTCCTTTGCTGCACCTCTGCTTCCAGTCTTTTCTGAAGCATCATTATGCTGCCCAAGTTGAAGATAGTCCCATGTTTCATAATGTATACATTTATGAAGTTTGAACACCTTAGAGCCTGTGAGAGTGTGCTGAAATCTAAAAGCATCTATCATGTGATGAGATGCATTTCCTGTGCATTTATGGATCTGAAGTGTAGCACCAGTGCAGCTACAAGTCAGCTAAAGGGGGGGTGGGGGTGGGGGGAATCATACACTGTAATATGGTAACTGTCTCCAAAACCACAGTTCACATCCCATCAGCAGTATCTATAAAAGACAAAAGAAATGCCACACTCGGGTCAGGCCTTCTAGTTCAGTGTCCTGTCTTTGACACTGGACAGCAGCAGATATGTCAAAAAAATCATGCAAGACACTCAGTAGTTGTTAAAAACCAGCATCCTGAGGGAAGCATCTCTACTGTTTATGCCATCAGCACAAAGGGTTTGTACCCTTATGAACAAGGGTTGGTTTACCACCCCACCACCCCCCATTTCTTCCATATATTCCTTCTCTCCAACCCTCCCCTTACTTTTCCTTCTGTTCAAGGCCTCTGCGTCCTCCCAGGGAGTATAACCAAAATGTCTCATGATGTCTTGCAGCAGACGTAGAAGCAGCAGCCGGGAAGGAGGGGCGCCATACGTGTGTGCAGCCCTGCCATTCAAGGAGGGCTATCCTGTTCTGAATGAGCCTAGCTGAGGCTTTACCATTTAGTTTCTAATATTGCCCTACAAGGAACAGGAGCTAGCCAGCAGAAAGCTGCAGATCTGAATGAGGGGCTAGGTCCCTGACCTATGGGCACAGAACTTTTTTGACCTCTATTCTAGAGGAACAAACAAAAAGCTAATGTTGAGGACTGCTGGGAATGCAGTTCTTACGGCAGGGTGAGCTGCTGTGACATGCGTGGCTTGTACACATTTCTCTATGCAAAGTTTGTATTTAGGGAACGCAGAAACAACTCTCTGCTAGAAATGGACGTATGACATGACATTTTTTTATTATGCACAACTTGTATCATTCACAGCTTACTGGTCTGTAGTCCTAGAATGCAGTGGATACATACAGAAGCAAGCTTAAATGACTTTGCATTGGCAGTGAAAATAAATCACATTTTACTGTTAAATCACACTATTCATTGCATCTCAGTAGACATAGAGGGTATAGAATAAACAATAATAATTCTCATATATTGAGAGCTTAAGGGTCTTCCAGGCATGTTTCCTAATTTACATCCAAAGTGCCTGCCTTTAAGCTGAAGTCAAAAACCCACAAAGCAACAACAAAAAAGGGAGGGAGGAAGGAAAGGAGAGAAAGAACTACACATCTGAAACAGCCATAGGTTTCAGACTTGCACAGATATTGCTCTTTGGTTTTGTTTTGGGGCTTTTTTTCTTTTTTTAAATTCAGCAGCCTTTGAAAAGAAAAACATAGTTATCACCAACAACTGTGTAGTTTAGTATTTCAAGTCATACTTTAGCTCTTACTTTAAAAAGTGGAAAGCAAACCAACAGATCTGAAATTTACTTCAATATAATAACTTAGTAATTCAAGAAAGTCATGGAATACTAACAGATTTAACATTTCAGTCTTTGAAGCTATTAATTCAAATGATGTTTCTTGGGTGGAAAGGTAATGAAATAATCAGAAAAGAACAGCAAAGACAGCTGAGTAGCTAACAACACAGTGTTTTAGTTTGCAGTAGAAATTCTAGTTGTTTCACAGAAAGTTCATAAGGAAATAATGCCACAGTCTTAAAGTACATATACTTAAGTGAGGTTTCACCACTCTGCATCTCCAACAGCTTTTGCAAAAACATGGTCTTTACCCTCAAAGGACATCACTCCATCTTTTAAGTAGAACTTCCATTTGTTCTTACTTCGATGTATCTGATGAGAAAAAGAAATCAGTGCCCCCCACCCAAAATATATATTAGACCATTCATTTTAATAAAAAAAAAAAAAAAAAGCAAAAAAGCAAAGGTAACTGTGTGGCAGCTCAACACCAGCAGGAAAACAAAACAATAATGGAGCAATTTCATGAGTGTATCAGTCCCAAAATAACAGTGCACCTTGCAAACAAGTATGGCTTAACTAAAATGCAGTGGTTTCCTTCTCCCATACACATTGCAAAGCAACACTGCATGCACAGAGATACTAGGATAGGGCTAAAAGCAGGTAAACTTTTCTTAAAAGCAAATACTGCCATACAAACAGTAAGAAAGAATTCGCATATTCTGTTTCTTTTTAAAGGCCTGCAAAATGATCTGTACTATAGAAAGTTTTTGTTTAATACTAAAAGAAGACATTTTAAACATCTCCAGAAAATTCTGTGGATTTTAAGCATCAGTCTGTTTTCAAGTAAAGAAAGAAAAAGAAGGGAAAAAACAAACAGGACAGTAATTTTGCCACCAGCATTCTTTTAAAGATAACAAGGTAATTTAATAGATAACTGTTTCCTATCTACTTTCTACTAGGCCTACATGTTGATGTCCAAGTGGAGAACAGTGACACATGGTGTTCCTCAGGGGTCGGTGTTGGGACCAGCGCTATTTAACATCTTTGTTGGTGACACGGACAGTGGGATTGAGCGCACCCTCAGCAAGTTTGCTGACGACACCAAGCTGTGTGGTGCGGCCGACACGCTGGAGGGAAGGGATGTGCCATCCAAAGGGACCTGGACAGGCTGGAGAGGTGGGACCCTGCAAACCTCATGAAGTTCAACAAGGCCAAGTGCAAGGTCCTGCACATGGGTCAGGGCAATCCCAAGCACAAGTACAGGCTGGGCGAGGAGTGCATTGAGAGCAGCCCTGAGGGGAAGGACCTAGGGGTATTAGTAGATGAAAAATTGAATATGAACCAGCAACATGCACTTGCAGCCCAGAAAGCCACTTGTATCCTGGGCTGCATCAAGAGAAGTGTGGCCAGCAAGTTGAGGGTGAGGATTCTCCCCTTCTACTCCCTCTTGTCAGACCCCACCTGGAATACTGAATTCAGCTCTGGGGCCAACATAGGGCCATGGACCTGTTTGGAGTGGGTTCAGAGGAGGCCATGAAGATGATCAGGGGGCTGGAGCACTTCCCTTATGAGGACAGGCTGAGAGAGTTAGGGTTGTTCGGCCTAGACAAGAGAAGGCTGCAGGGCGACATTATAGCAGCCTTACAGTACTTAAAGGGGGCTACAGGAAAGATGGGGATGGACTTTTTACAAAAGTGTCCTGGTTTTGGCTGGGATAGGGTTAATTTTCTTCCTAGTAGCTAGTACAGTGCTGTGTTTCAGATTTAGTGCAAGAATAATGCTGATAATACACTCATGTTTTAGTTGTTGCTAAGTCAAGCTTATTCCAAGTTATGGATTTTTCAGTTTCCCATGCTCTGCCAACAAGCAGGTGCACAAGAAGCTGGGAGGAAGTGTAGCCGGGACAACTGACCTGAACAAGCCAAAGGAATATTCCATACCATTGAACATCATGCTCAGTATATAAACTGGGGGGAGTTGGCCAGGAGGGGCAGATCACTGCTCAGGGACTGTCTGAGCATCAGTCAGCAGGTGGTAAGCAACTGCATTGTGCATCACTTGTCTTTTCTTGGGTTTTATTTCTTTTTGCTATACTCATTATATTTTAGTAATTAAACTGTTCTTATCTCAACCCACGAATTTTACTTTTACCTCCAATTCTCCTCCCCCTTCTCCTGAACCAGCATGGTGCTTAGTTGTTGGCTGTTGTTAAACCACAACAAAGGGCATGTAGTGATAGGACAAGGGGTAATGATTTTAAACTGAGAGTAGAGTTAGATGAGATATAAGGAAGAAATTCTTCACTGTCAGGGTTGTGAGACAGTGGAACAGGTTTTCCAGAGAAGCTGTGGCTGCCCCCTCCCTGGCAGTGTTCAAGGCCAGGTTGGACGGGGCTTTGAGCAACCTGGGCTAATGGAAGGTGTCCCTGACCATGGCAGGGGGGTTTGACTAGATGATCTTTAAGGTCCCTTTCAACCTAAACCTTTCTGTGATTCTATTAAATCTATATAGGAAAGGGGAAAGTTACCACCATCTTCCCCCAACTTCTGTAGCTGTTAATTTGTAATAACAGCTGATCTTAAACTTCCTGTAAGACATGTCCAATGCTGAACTTCCTATCAGTTGGTTTTTTTAATTTTCAACCAATTCTTCAGCTTATTACAGACAAAACTTGCTGTACATAACAATATCCACTACCTATAGCATCTGAAACAAACTGAGTTACAAGCTTCAAAACTTTGTATACCTTTTCAATACAATACAGACGCCATGGCTTAATTTCAGATGCATTTTCTACACACATCCCTATAACTACATTTTCAAACATAACTAGTTTCAGAAACACTTGATCTGTTACATTTTAGTAAAGACAATTTTCTTAGAAGCTCACTGCTAAAGCCCAGACACTGTTCAGGCAGGCCTAGTTGAACACACACAAATAATTAGTCACTTTTGAAAGAATAAAAGTCAAGGCACATTCTTAAGCAAACTACAGACATATTTTTCCATATTTGTTTCAAAATAAAATATGCACTTTTTTTTTTGGTCAACTTGTAAACTATTGACATCTAAGTGTCCAAAATAATACCAGAGGTAGAAGTACTTAATTTGATCTTCAAGAGTTCAAAATAAGGTATAATTTTGAACATTAAAATGGAGAACATAACAGCCCTTAACAACTGTTTTTTCAGAAACAACAGAATTCTGGTAGAAAAATCTCACAGCACCTCAAAAGACAAAAAAAAAGTAAGAGACAGTACACAAACTCCCCTTTCTGTTATCCATTTCAAAACTCTTAATTCATGGCTGAAAATGTATACATGTATCCATGGAGCTGTTGACATTACTTAAAAGTTAAGGAAATAAAGATTTGTAAAGCTGCAAAAGCTTATGCAAGATTTGGTCCCCTCTTCCTTTACTAGGCCATTATAAACCTGTTGATTATCCTCATTTCAGAAAACAGCAGGTAAGTCTTCAGACTACTGTCAGCTAACTGTAATTTAAACACTCCAGTACAGCATTAGGTTTTCTTTAAACAGCACTGACAGCAGCCCAGACATGGATTTGCTGAAGTTATCATTTAGAATGATTAAGGAACAAAGATGAAACTATATACTGTACCTTGTCATACTGACAAACTATCACATTGTCAGTGTCAAACAAGTCTGGAGTGTCTTGTTCACTGATGTCATCACCAGAATTTAAGGGGTCCTAGAGAGTAAAGTTGTATTTTATACATTCTTTCAGAATAGCATTGAATATATTTGACATTAAACATACCTAGAACAATAAAGGTTTCCATTGCAAAAATCAAGACCTAAAGGCTACGAAGACCATGTTGCACAAAGTTTATAAGTGTCTTTACATGCTTCCATTCTCAAAAACAGAAACGCCCCAAAGAAAATCACAGACCAAAAAGCAAGGCTGCTAAATGACAAAGCTGACCCCAGTAACTGAAATACTAATCAGCTGGTCCAGATGCTGCAAGCTGATTCTCTTGTGAATCTCTAGGATACAAAATTGCACATCTTTTAAGAAAAGCCTTTTCCTGCAAAACCTAGGCACTTGTATCACATTGTTCTCTTCTCTGTCTAATCCCCTGTGGTCCTTCAGAAGGAAAAGAAACCTAGATTTGCACCCCGATCTTAAAAAAAAAAAAGCATCACTTCATTCCACTGAGGCTAGAGTTTTACCATAAGAACTTTAATTCTTGGAAATCTTGGTATTCTAATTCATCCAATAAACAAATGGCTTCTCAACATCTCTTTCATTTATCTATACTCCTCATAATGAGTTCTCCAGTAATTTCTCAGCAGTACCTCCTATCTCAAGAGGTAACTTAACTATGCATTCTCTGCATTAAACTTAACAGAAATTGTTCTGGGTTCAACAATTCAACAGTCAAAATAGATACGCTATTGTAACATACGTCACAAGGCTTAAAAGTAAATTACCTCCTCAATTATATCCATTTGGGGCTCTTCATTATCACCACCACTTCTGCTAGACTCTGAAATACTTTCACATTCTTCATCATCATCTTCCTCATCCTCCAAAACTTCTGGATTCTCTGATTCAATAACACCAATGAATTCATTCTCTTCCCTATCTTTTGTATGAGGTATTTCATCCTTGGGAGAAACATCACCAGTACCATCTAGCTGAATTATGCCTTCGATGTCACGGCAACTATCGTCCTCTGATCGTAAATTAGATTCCATCTGCTCAGTAGGTTCCATCTGACAGGAATAAAAGAGACCAGAGACAGCTTGTGAATTAACACCACATAGCCTTCATTGTTCAGTACAAAGCCTGAAATTTTTGTTAATAAAGCAGCAAGACTGGGGCACTAAAATGAGAATTTCAAGTCCTGGCCTACTTGTAAACCCTGAGTACCTTTGCAAATCTTGTTCTTACACTTAAGTGGAATCCATGACAAATATTCCTCAGCAATACAGAAAGACATTTTTCTTAAGACTTTTTAAACACTATTGTACTCAAACAACTTTTTAAGAAAAAGATGATCCTGCAGGCCTTTAGAACTTCTATTGCAAAGGTAATTCCAAAACCAAAACAAACAAACAAACAAGGAAACAAGCTACTCCCCTGCCCACAAAGCCAGCATTTTTCATTTTTTAAATAAAAGTCAGGATGAACTCCTCCCTCTCCCTCAACTCAAAATGTTTTGTTTAAATAAGATATAAAAAGCTGAGAGAGACAGTAAATATTTCAGTACTTCAAGTTACTGTTCATAAAAGTGCTAGAATTCCTAAACTGAGCATTCACAGGAACATAAAAGGGCTTTAAGCTTTCAGCCATATTCACTTTCTCATTAAATCTTTATTGTAGCACTTAATTCACATTCACATACACCTTCTAGTTTAAGAAAATAACACTCTTGTTTTGACCTTCCATTCTTACTATGGACAGTCTTCATCATCCTGCCATCAAAGTTCAGATGAGCAACATACCATTACTTCTATTGACAGTCATCTGTCATTACTGTCACTAAATTTGCATTTAATAAATTTGTCTCAATCATGTAAACAGACTACAACTCGGAAGTCAGCAAGCCAGTCTGAACTTCAAACATCTGCAAATAATTTCTGGAACAAAAATTAGATGAGGTCAGGAAAGTGGCCTGTTAATTGAAATCATTCAAGTTTTCCATACAGCTCTAGCTGAATTCTAGTTTGTTCAGGATTTTTTCCCAATGAAATACATGTCCTTCCAGATTTTCACTTATCAAATCTGACTTTTCATACTCAATACACATTCTAAGTGAAAGTTAAATGCTCTTCACACATTACAAGTTAAAACTAATCCAGTTGACCCTGCAAAAGCAATCTGCCCACAACTGAGGGCAAATATATCCATATACAGATTCAGTGTCCAAATGACATGGAAGTTCTCAAAGGGTCATCCATGTCTACTCAGTCACAAAAAAAAAAAAAAAAAAAAAATTATCCCCAATAATAGTTAATAAGTCTAATAATACATTATACTGATCCATGACACTCTCAGCATTTTTTAGATTGATATTCTCTTCAGTCCCTGTATTTCAGCAACATTTGTGACAAACTCCTAATGTCATAATAAGCAGTCAGCTACTGCTATTCAAAACAAGCTCAAGAATGAACTTTTAAATGGTAATAATTTTTATTATTATAATGTAGAGGGTGCTACTTGTCACTTACAGATGTGTTTGATCACATCTCTTACAATACTTCAAACGACTGTCTCCAACAGATGTATTTTCACCATCTGAGAAATAAAAGGTCTTACCTTGTCAGATGGAGCACTGCTGTCCTGATCTTTCTGAACAGTGTTATCATCCAAACTTTTACCCATGATAATCAGGTCAGTGGTATCATCAGACACATGCTGTTGCACCAGCTCCCAAGGTTCAATATCTAACTGCCCCTCCACATCCAGCAGTACACTGCTCGAGTTTTTTGCCAAGGATTCAGCAGGAGAAAACTTTTCAGAGGATTCTGGAGTAAACACAGCTGTGTGAAGATTGCCATGCTGGGGTTTTTCTGTTGAGTCTGCACACTGATTCAATATTACAGTAGTTGCAAGTTGCTGCTGAACCAAGGTAGTATTGGCAGAGTTCTCCAGGTGTTTTTTTTCCACAACACGTGGCTGAAATACCATTGTCTCTTGGACAGCGGTCTCCTGGGGTTGCAAAGTTGCAGCAGCTGCCTGGGCAGAAGATGCATTCACCTGTGCAACACTGGCAATGTTGGCTTGCAGAACTGAAGGCTTCCCAAGGGGCTGAAACACCTGATGAACAGGACGATGTGGAACACTTGCATCTCCTGACGCCTGTGTAACCATAACAGGCACATTTACCTTATAGATGTGACCTACAAGAAGAAGAGTTAAAAACTGCTTTAGCAGGTTAAATTACAGGTTCATCCAGGCCACTGTCCTGTTACCATTAATAGCAAACACTCAACAAACCATGAGAAACAGGATATTTACAAAGCAGTACTTTCCGCAAGCACAATTTCAGCCTTTGAAAACCAAGCATTCAGAGGCTTTTAGAGTCAGATCTTCCATCCAGACCATCATGCTTAATACCTCTGTTTGGTTTTGGCCTCCACAATACCCTGTGGCAATAAGTTCAATCATTTAATTACATACTGGATTAAAAAAAAAAGGAGAATCCTGGTTTGAATTTGTTTCAATGTCATTTCAGAAACTAAGAAATACAAGATGAAACAGTAAACTTCCTGATATCTATAGGGACAGTTCCCTCCTTGAAGGACCTTTAGGTATCTCCTCCAAAACAACTGCCTAGTTTAGGTTGGGGTTGTGTTTTTTTTTTTAAAAAAAAAAAAAAAAGACTGCTAGTTTATCTATCCTCTCATCATATGAAAACCACTCCAAATACTGAATCCTTAAAGTTATTATTACCAGTGTTAGAATTAAGACACCAGAGCTAAGTTCTGAATTTCATTTAATTATTCTTTTCCCCACACACATGTTTACACACAGAGTCACTGACACAGCCTATAGGTCTCAGAACTTTAGGAATACCAGAAATAGTTACTTAGTGCCATTAGTTCTCATCAAAGAACAGCTGTCTGAGGAAAGAGTCAATCTAAAATAAGCCTTTCGCTCATTACACCCTAAGCAGTACAAGCACATTTTTGTACAGGCAGTTTCATCAGCAAGAAGGTTACTGGATGGTTGGATTTTATTTGAATAAGAAATCTATTTCATTCTGAAGCACCAAAATGCCTTTACCTTTTTATAACATGCAAGATTGTCCCTTATATTGGAAGAGATCCTCTGTCAGTCCAGACATAGGTAACACATTTGTGAGCAGTTGTAAAGCAAAAAAAATGGCATCACCTGGCAGCCCATGTTAACTGATCTTGTGAGTGTACACAACTGACACACTAACCAATCAATGTAATTACTTCCCCCATGCAGGAATTACAAAAAGAAACTACAAAGGAAGAAGAGGATAACTGGCTCTACCCACCTATACTTTAATTTCACATTTGTTTTATCTACTGTACTTAGAACCAGCTTTCAATATCCACATAGTCAATGCACTGTAACATTTTACATCCTCTCTTTAATCTTACCAGATGTTGTCTTTAGCGTCACTCCAGCCGGTACAGGATAACCAACACCCGAAGGGAGAGTAAGAGTTGTACCCACTTGTGAAGCACCCTAGATACACGACAGATTTATTAAGAAATAGTGCATACTTTATCTCCTAGGCCTTTAATGTCACATGTAACATATCCAGATGAAACAGGGATGAGGGCCTTTTTGTGATCATCTTTACTGAAGAGTTGCTTCAGACTTCTGAGATTTACAGATAAGGAGTGTTCTGTATTGACAGCGTAATGACTATCCCTAAGTGTTTCCTATTTTCCAGTTATCACATTCTCTTTTTGTTAACGGAACACTTTCCTGTAGCCCCTCAATGTACACACCATCCAGAAAGGTGTTTTTCCCTCTCAGAGGCACTTTTACCTAAGCTTATGTATTACTCCACACAGCACAGATGCCTTCCCTCAGCCTTCACTTCACATTCTCTTTCTCTCAAGGAAAGCAGAGTTGGATATACAGCTCCCTTTCAAACTAGCTGTTCTGGGGAAATCCAAATTTTACATCAGGAAACTTGCATGTTACACAAACATCTTCCCAATATTATATTTCAGCTTGGCAAGCTCATTAGCTTGAAGCTCAGGAGGCACTCAATAAGTTCATTAAGGTCTGACAATTAACAGCCCCTCCCCAACCAAATTTTGCCATGCTGAGTTCAGAATCTGTCAACTGTAAAACCACTCCTTTTCTTCTAGACAAGTTCTATGCCTTGCAGATACTGCTGCTCCCAGTTTCACTAGTGCTAGCATCTCCTAACTGTGCATTATTTTTACACCCAGTAATAAAATACAAAAAAATTTAAAATGGATCTGTAGATGTGCATTTCCACTACACTTCCATCCTATGGGCTAAATAGATCCAGCCATGTCTTTCAACACACTTCTAGCTGCAATGCTTGCAAAGCCAGCTGTCCTTTTTCACTCAAACAGAAACAGCAGAGTGACAGCTCTCCCCCTGCAGACTCTTAATTTGTATGTTTTTCATCAAAAAGAAGGGGGGGG